GCCCCGCCCCGACCCCCTTCACCTCCCACCGTGGCGCTCGGCTGACTTCTGTGCTGCTCAGTCAGGCCGCCACGTGGGAGAAAACGGCACGAGCGACCATTTGGTCTCCGCACTCCCCATGCAGCACGGGGAGTGTGAAGCCCAAACGGCCATTTGGGCTCCGCGGTCCCCCGAGTGAGAGGCAGGAGGAGGAGGAGAGCTGAGAGAGAGAGGTGGGGAGGCAGTAGGAGGAGAGAGAGAGAGCGGAGGCTCAGGAGAGAAGACCAACGTGGAGGAGAGACCTGAAAATCCCGTCTTGTGACGGGCTAATTGGCTAGTTGAGTAAGAATGGAACTGAACTGTCCAGTGCCTATTTTTTAGTTCTTTGTAGATGTCCTAAAATCAAGAATTTTATGGGGCTTTCTCTTTGTACATACTACAGTGTTCCCTAGTATGCTTTACTGTTCATACAGTTTCAAACAGCACTATGTTAAAATGCAGTAGGGAACCTTCAGTGTGCACCAGTGGAGTCTACCCAGATTAATTAATGAGCAACGCGTTAGTGTGCTTTAGAAATCACCTCCCCATCATCTGCATTACTGCTCTGTGTAGATGTGTCCTTACCCATTTCCGTTGTTTTTTGTGGGAAGTTTTTGTATAAATATTGATATTTTTGGGGGGAGAGGATGAAGGTTGGTGTTTATCAGTTAAAACATAAAAACCAAAAACTCTAGTCATAGAGAGGTACCCATTCTCTCTGATAGTATTTTATATTTTATACAATGGAAGTTGTTATATAGATGCCAAAGATCTATCACTTTTATTTGATATTTATTATGTAATTTATTAGAATAAAAATACTCCTAGACCTACATTTGGCATTTTGATCCTTCTTTACACTCTTCATTCCCAATTGCTCCATTCCTTGCTGACTTGCTGAAGCTTTAGAACTCATGTGGTGCTGCCCTGTACAGCGATACAGCAGACTGTACGTCAAAGAGTTGCTGAGGAATTGGACTCCACACCTCACCTCTTCCCAAACACTTAGCATGAAAGGAAGATGTATCTGTTCTTAACAAGAGGAGGCTGGGTAGTGTGAGAATCAGATTTGAAATGTCTGTCCTCTCTGGATATGGAGCTTCAGATCCGGACTGGGCTGACCCAGCCCTTCATCGTTCTGAGGTAGATACATTGAGCTCCCCACAGTTTGCTGCCTGAGGATCTTTTGAATAAGACCATAGGATCGGATGTCTTATCTACTTGGCATGATCATTGACAATTCCATGGCACTGCTTCTAAGAGTGGGAAGTTTGTTCTGATTACCTGCCCAAAATTACTGCCTTCTCCTTCTGGTGTGCAGTATGCCGAGCACTGGTTGTGCTCTGAGCTGCCACCTTCTGCTCTGGGAGGTTATATTTTAGTAGAACTGAATTCATATAATTTGTGGAGCCTTTGGAATGATACTTTATTCTTTTTATTTAAGAATCTAGGATTCAAGTCCATCTCCAACCTGGGCCAGATCCCAAATGGGAATTTTGCAGGGATCGCTGGGGTTTGGACCATTCCCCCAGTGAAAAGAACTAATTTGTAGTGAGAACAATATACCTCATTTCTCCTACCATGCATAAATAGGAGAAAATAGAAAAGAGGAACTAAAAGCTACCTTTCATCACTGACTTAAAATAAACAACATGAACAACGAAAGATAGGACCAGGGCAATGCTATTAACTTGCATTAGCATTTCACATCCAGAGCTTCAGTGCTGCCACTGGTTCAAAGGAATATCAAAAGGGCAAGAGGGCGACTGTGTAAGTGGGAGAGGAGGAGTTGGGGGGGAGGAGGACTGCACCATTCAAAGGTAAAATGAAACAGTGATGCCATAAATGATGAAATCTGCCCTCTGATTGTCAGCTGATGTAGCTATTTCTCACGACTTACAGAATTGACGACTGCTTCTGTGCTTCTCGAAAACTGGACGCCGTAGCCACAGAAGCTAAATTCAAGCAGGATCTGGGATTCCGAATGCTGAACTGTGGGCGAACAGATCTAGTTAAGCAGGCCATCTCTTTGCTGGGGCCAGATGGAATTAACAGCATGAGTGAACAGGTACAAAATTTAACTTTAGGAGTCAGGAGTCTTGACTGTTTATTAGAGTACTTTGGAGGGTTGTTTCCTTTAACTTCATAAACAGATGGCTCTTAAATTAATCCTTTTTCCTTATTACTTGATACTAAACTAAGACTGCATCATGTGTACATTCAGGCTAAGCTTGGGCCCCTATGAATTATGGATCCTTTTTCTTAGTATTGCAGTAGAGCTAGCACATGAGTTCGCTTAAACTTTTTAAGTTAAATTGATTCAGGAGAAACTATCAAAAGTTCCATAGGAGTGCCTGGAGTCGATCTGATTACATAGTTTGCCCTGGCTTGTGACTAATAGTGCCTACTAGGATGTTGATTTTGTGATGTGAATATCTTTTCAATAGATACTGGTTTGAGGTTCATGATACATTTCACATTGACCATCAAACCCCTGTCAAGTGGGTGTTAGTAATGTTCCTTGCATATTGAAATATGCCCCAATTTGAACTGGTGATCTGGAAACAGAAATCTCAATTCAGGTTGAACCTCTCTAGTCCGGCACCCTTGGGGCCTGACTGGTGCCAAACCAGAGAATTTGCCAGACCACAGGAGGTCAATATGGTCTAGCAGCATTGCCAACACTTCCACTGCTTGCTGGGCTCTTAGAAGACATTTAGGGATACATTAGAGCTAAATAACAGCACAGGACACTAAGTTCCTACTGGTTAGTAGGCTAGAGACTGATCCTACTGGCTGGGAGAGACTCACTGTTCTCCCCACAGCAGAGAGTTGCTGCTGTCTCTGAGGGAGAAGTGCCGCTCCCCCAGCCAGGCAGCTGCGTGGGCAAGTCCTAAGCCCCTGGCTGGGCAGGGCTCATTAAGCAGCTGCAGGGCTGTGTTGCTGCACAGCTTAGAGGGAACCTTGTCCACCACCGTACACTGAAGGATTAAGTATACTAGAAGATCCCTGACAGGTTACAGTTTTAATAGCTTGAGCTTGATAGAATACTGATCTATACCATTAACTAGTTAACCCCAATAAAGTACTTTGGAAGTGTGAAGTACTCTGTAAGTACTAAGTATTACTCTTATTTTTATATCTTGAAGTTTATTCCATGGTTAGTATGTTATAGTACTTTCAAATAATTATTCTTTTAAAAAAATTTTATACCTTGAAACTTTTTCCTGGTAAAATTGCTGCGCTCCAAGAACTCAGTCCTGCAAAGCACTTCTCTGTGTGGCCTGATCTATCAAAGCACTTAATCGTGTGCTTCACTTTAAAGTCATGGTTATGTCCCATTTGCTTTAAACACGTGCCTCAGTGCTTTGTCAGATCAGGCCAAGCAAGTCTGCATCTTGCAGCACTGAGTCAGTCACCAGTGATTTAAATATTGAAAGCACAACTTTTTTGCAAAAACCAAATTCCCTGTATGCTAATTGCATGTGTTGTTTATTGTTTGTTGAGCACTAATTACGTGCTCGTTAAAAATCCATTCCTATACATTCCACAAGCAAAGTGTATGCTAATTGCATGTGTTGTTTATTATTTGTTGAGCACTAATTACGTGCTCATTAAAAATCCATTCCAATACATTCCACAAGCAAACGAAGAGATATCATGCAACAATACAGAGCAAGCCTGAGCTACAGAGCAAACCTCAGGGATGGGCATATGTAAAAACAAAACAGGACTGATTAGAATCTCAAGTAAACTTTCAGACCCCTCATCCTGCAATGTGTAGGGTTAAATCTTGGCCCCATTTTAAGCAGCTGAAAAATGCCATTTGGCTTCAATGGGTCAGATATCACTTGTAGTGTGTAGGCAGACTGCCCTGTTCATACCATCAACAGTGTGGTACAGTAGTCTGCACATGGGTCTACAATTGTTTTGTTAATCTTTTTCTGTCATGCTGTAACTTTAACATTGATTGTATCCTTGTGTCAAGTATTTATTCTTTTAAATTATATTGTTTAAATTATGTTTTAAAAATTCTCCCCCGATTACCAAAATTCAAGGCTTGTATAAATATTTTCTTTTGAGACATAGGGTCCAATCCTGTAGGGCTTACTATGGGCCTAACCATAGCTACCCAAGGGGACTTTTACTATTGACTGCAATAGAACAAGATCAAGTCCTATTTGAGAGTGATTTGTACTCACCCAAGTACTCTGTTGACTGTAGCGGGACTGCCAGACAGAATCAGGATTATTCACATCGGTAATGGGATCAGGACCCTCATTTCTACAGTTTTAATATATACACACACATTTCTCAACAGTAAATCAAAGACTTGATTCTGATAAGTGCCCATTGACTGCTGTGGGCATTGAGGATGCTTATCACTTCACAGCATCAGGCCTTTTCTTTTTACTAAAAGACACCTGCTCCCAAAACTAACCGCCCACCAGTGAAACTTCAGCCTGGAAAAAAAGGCTTTTCCACCCCCAAGGAAAATGTGAAAAACATTTAATTCAGCCAATAATGCTGATGCTCAGATGTTCCTAGAGAGAACAGTGCAGTAGTTCAGCTTGTGGCCATTCTGACCACCTCATTTGTCTCTGTAAATATATTCACTCTACGACAAAGGATAGGTTATGCAGAAAGTATATGATCGTCTTATGGGAAGTTTACCATGGGACCATCTACTCTGTAAATATATTCACTCTACGACAAGGGATAGGTTATACAGAAAGTATATGATCGTCTTATGGGATCGTCTTATGGGACCATCTGACAGACAATAGAATGGACTAGAGATATCACGATCCATTGGCAAACTTACCAGGGAACAAACAAGCACATTCTTGATTGACCCTCCCCTGCTTTTATTTATTAAATAGCTTTTTGTGTTGTAGTTCAGGTAGATTTAATGATATGTTCGTGATTTCAGCTGCACTTATTTCCATTGCCAAAGTAACACTAACCTTAAGGGAAATGTTGATCAGCTGGAATGGGTATTTCAGACTATTACAAATTGCAGTCTAGTGTTTCTGTAATTTAGTGTTCATCAACACAGGGCAGCATATCCCAAGAGCTAGCAACTTTCAACAATGCTGTCTGGCATTTCATTTAAATTTCATTTCATTTAAAATTAAGCCATTGTTTAGGACAGTATACGAAGCTTCTAGATGTCCAACTGCTAACAACATTGACAGTATTAGACAATAGACAGAGCTCAAGTCTAACTTATCTGAAGAGTGTCCATTATGCTGGAAAAGGGATGCTGTCAAGAAGTAAATACTCAGCTTTTTGGTTTTATAAAACAAGAGTTACAAAAACCTTAATGTGAATAGAAAAGCTTTCATTTGTTATTTTTAACTGTCTTTATTGCTTTGGATTTAAATATTCCACTGCTATTGAGAGTCCAAAGACAATATTGTTCTTTATTTTGGTGTGCAAGAACTAGGAAATGAAACTGAAAAATCTGATTTCATTGTGCTGAGTAAAACACAGAAAGGAAACAACATAAATTATGACAGTAACTTAGATTTTTTTAATGTTCAGCTGTGAACAATATTAAAGAGTTCTTTGTAACAGAGATAAGGATTTAGTTCAATAGTCAGTGTTTATTTTGACAATATATGTTTAAAGCACTAACTTTAAAAAAATTATTTTGTAAATTGGTCAATTCCTTTGTTTTTTAATTCCAAACAATGAATAGGGCATGACTCCACTGATGTATGCTTGTGTCAGAGGTGATGAGGCAATGGTGCAGATGCTACTAGATGCTGGAGCAGATTTGAATGCTGAGGTGAGGACATTTTATTATGATTACAACTTTGATTTCTTTACTTGTTTATATCTCAGACAGCCATTAAAATGATAGCAGAGGAAGGGAAAAAAACCCACAGTGTTTAAAACTAAAATCTGTTACCAAAGGTATTAACATTTGAAAATTGATATTGAATGATATGCACTTCAAAAGTTAGTTTGTCAGTGATTTGTACCAGTGTAAGAGCACTGACTTTGCTAGGATTGCACAATGTGAATTAGCACAGAACATTGCACTGGAACTTGAAATGGAAGCTGCTAGTTCAGGAGTCACTGTTCTAATGAAAAGGATGGGACTTCCTGACTTGCAGATGAGTTAAAATGGATAAGTTAAGAAGGCAGAGTGTTCAGATACCTCTGTCCAAGCATGAGAATGTTTCTATATTGCCCAACAGCATACCAGTAACGTAAGGTGCATTGTTGTGTTGTATAAAATGGCTTTGATGAAAGCTGGTGGATGAAGAGGGCTTCCAACATGTAAATATCTCTTGATGAATGCATGTAGCAAACAGATACAATCTTCCCACCAAACAGATTGTTGTCACTCCATGCAGTGCTGGTATGTAAGTTTTTTAAAGAGCCAATTACAATACATGAAGAATTATTTGTTATGTTTGTAAATACCAATCATTTCAGTTTGTTGAGGTCATGAATGAATTAAACTGTCTGACTTGCATATCTGTGTTCCATCCATTCTGTTTGGATTTCGGGAGGCTGCCATTAAAGTGTAATTGCTACTTTCAGTAAGACATTTTACTTTTTGTTTTGTTTTAATGTAACTGGGGGAAAAATGGACAATGGATGGCTTGGGGCATCCAGAGCAGGACACAATTATTCACCTGTAAGTCTCCACTTGGAGTCCATTGATAGTGACTGATAGTCGTTACTATCTGATTGCAGTTTGGTGGCGTATGTGAAATCAATTGTTGATTTCAGCTCAGTTCAGTTCCTAATGGAACCAAAAACGAGCAGACAAAAAAGTCAACCATCAGTTGGCAAAAATTATTCCCCTTTATAGCAGTCACAATTGAGAGGCCAAAGACTGGGCAGGCATGGAGACTGACCTGCCCTGCAACCCAAGCTGTCGAACACCAGACCTACTGAGTTGATGTCTTATTTTGTGGCCCTCGTTAACAAATTCAGATTCTGCGGAATGCAAGCTTTCCTTAGAAATAAAAAGGGAGTTCAGTCCTTGTGGCTGTGTGAATAACCTTCTAAACTTGAACCAGATGTAATCCTGAATCTGAAGACAATTGGAATCAATAGCTTTCAGAGGGACGTGAACTCTTCTCCCCTCCCTGTCCCTGTTGATCTCAAAGGAAAGTTTGCACTGAAATCAAATTATAACACTTCTGTAAGGTGTGCAATTATACAGCTATTTTGTATAGACAGTTACCATAATAGTGTATGCAGATTGGGTTAATGACATGAAGATAGGCCGGATAAACAAAGGGTGAAATACATATTCCTCAATTTGCCCCATGTAATTTTTCTCCACATTGCTTTGCCAGATAAAAGTTTTTGTCCAAATTTCCAAAAGTTACCTCTAATTCTAGATGTTTCCACTCTCAAATGCCCAAGTTTAGACTCCAGGGACTGATTCCCAGATATGTTGAGTGTCTGAAACTCACACTGAATTCAGTGAAAGGTGAGACTGTGTTTACCAAATGTCAATGTCAGGCCTTGAAGAGGCACTTAATGTTGATCTAACACTACTCCCATTACAGTCAGTGGTAAAACTACCATTGAGTGACAGCAGTTAACCCAATGGAGAGTGCTTTCAAAACCCCAGCCTAGGTATCTTCAACAAGATAAAGGAACCCAAATGTAGAGGATGTTCTTGAAAATCTTGGCCTTTCATGTCTATGTAAGGGCATATTCTACTCTAATGGTGAGTGTGAACTCTGCTGTGGCTTGCGGGTAGCACAGGTCTAAATTTGTAGGCAAGGCAGAGATCATAATTGAAGATTTAATTTGGCTTTGTCCACAGAATGAATTTGACTCCCCTGCTTTAATCCAATGGGGCTCTTGCCTGTTCTGTGTTTAAATTAGATAATTTAGTCTCCAGAGTTGTCAGTCCCACTCTATTTACAATCACTAATGTCACTGCAAAGCATTAACGTTTTAAAAATGAAATAAAATGTTGATACTCACATTTCCTTAGTGTATGCCACAGGAAGTTCCCTGAGCTGTACTGTTCCAATACCAATCCATATGAGATGATTAACTGGGTACATGATTACATTTAGGGACTAGTTTATCCTGAACCAAGTGAATAAAAAAGTCCATGTCTTTCAGTGGATGATTGGAAATATTTTGTTTAGGCCAACATCAATTCTCCTACCAGTTGCTATCTTCCCATGATTGATTAATAATAATTATTAATAAATACTTTGTACTTCAGTATCATGCTCCATCCAAAGATCTCAATGTACTTTATGAACTTTCATTACATGTCACCACCCGTGTGAGTTGCATTATATTCAAGACAGGCAAATTGAGGCACAGAGCAATTACATCAGTTGCCCAAGGTCAAGATTAGAGGCCTTCACTATTGATGCTTATTGGGAGAAAGGATGGATGTGACAATAAAAGGATTTCTGTTTAAAGAAAACAGTTTTTAGTTATTTGGGGCCCAGCACACCTTTAAATTTAGCTAGAATGGGAGAAAGTAGTAAACAGATTTTTAAAACAAAAAAATCTTCAAAATGGTGCTAGGCTTCATCTATTTTAAACAGTTTTCTGCCTCCAGTCAAAGAACAGCAACATGGGATACATGTCTTTAAACTTGAGACAAGGGGTGAAATCATGGTCCCATTGAAGTCAGTGGCAAAACTCCCACTGGCTTCAGTAATGTCAGGTTTTCAGTCCAGGATTTTTGAGACCCTGGGAATGTTGTAAACATGTATGACAATCCCACAAGCAGGGAAGAATGAATGGGCATGATACTAACTAAGCCCACTTAAATCAATAGTAAGTGTCCCTAAATGTAGCCATTCTGACAGAGCCCTCCCTCCCATCTCCACCTTCTCAGTGAGTATTGGTATAAGTGCTAGTGCAGATTTTATCTCTGCAAAAGTAGCTGTGGGCCAGTAATTTAGAGGGAGCAACAGCAGTTGGAAAAGAGACTTTATTTGATATGAGCTGTAATCAGTCTCTCAGTAAACAGCGTGGAAAATTCTAGTAGAAGTAAACTCTTCAGGAAATAATATACAGAACCAACCATTTTATAAAGTGCTTTTCTTTCTATCATTCATACCCATGTGCCCAGCTTTCAGGCAGGTTAAGTTTTATTATTTATAGTTCTTTGAAGGCCATTTTAAAAGAAAATAACTTTAATTTGTTTATAGGTTGTCAGTACTGCTCATAAATATCCATCCGTCCACCCCGAGACCCGCCATTGGACAGCTCTGACATTTGCTGTGTTGCATGGACATATTCCTGTAGTTCAGGTATTACTGTATTTCCCTACCTGCATCTCACTTTTTATTTATCCAGTTGGGTTATAATCTGCATCCATCTCGAAACTGGTACCCTTGTCATATTCATATTGGTTACTACTTTTATAATTTATATAGTCACCCCTACATCCAAATCTTAACCAATATGAGGCTTAACTAGGACAATTTTAAAGTATAGTTGCATCAAAGAAAGTCTTTCAACTCCTCGTGTTCCTTTCTGACCATTCATTGCATGTGTTTGTTTATTCATTCATTACACTTTCTTATCACGTGTATTATAATACTCTAATAAATGCAAATGTTATTATTTCTGAAAAAAATCCTCTGCTCTGTTCCTTAGTCAGAGAAGTGCTCAATCACCTTTTCCAGGCAGGAAATAACATGTGAATAAGTTGGTTCTGTGGTATGGCATATCAAGGGTTGAGATGGCTTATTCTTTAAAGTAATTGTATAGTCATGGCACGACTGATGGATCACCAGATAAAGGAGATCTAGGGTAGGGATGACCATAGGCAGGCTGAATGTGTCCCCTTGGAATCTCTAGTGCTGTCTGTGGTCACCTTCATCTTTATTAATAATAATAGAAATGTATTCCAGGAGACTGCAGGTTTCAGCATGCATTGCTGCAGCTTCCTCTGAAACCTTCTTGTCCCTTCTGGAAAGAGATCTCTATTAAAGGTGGAGACAGCTGAAATCGCATCCATTTTATAAAAAGTACACGTCTCTGTGGGGCTCCAGACAAGTTGTCAGTGAGGTTGTCAGTTGAGCCAAGCTTGAGTGTGTTAGTCGAGCGCATTGCTTCACACCGCTGATCTTATGCCCAGGTCAGGGACACTGGGTAATCCATACGCGCTTGGCTCTGGAATATTCACTATCACTCCAGCCGTTGGACAGTGTATGACGAGTGAAAAAAAATGAATGGAATAATAGAAGCAAAATTTGCATGTTGCCGGTCTTCACTGCATCCTGATGCGTGGATAACGAGAAACATTAGATTGCAGTTCCTCACTATTCGTAAACTCTAAATTCTGTGATGTCACCAACAATTCTCAATGGCGAATTTTCTTTATAGCTGTTGCTGGATGCTGGAGCAAAGGTAGAAGGTTCTTTAGAGCACGGCGAGGAAAATTACTCGGAAACTCCTTTGCAACTAGCAGCAGCTGCTGGTAAGGACTCTTCTCCTGTGGGAATAAACTCTTCAAGTGAAGAATGTGACTTAGTTGTATAAATATAGGAATTTTTAAAAAATAAAAATCTCTCTTGGCATACAGGAAATTTTGAACTGGTGAGTTTGTTGTTGGAGCGAGGTGCTGACCCCATGGTAGGAACAATGTACCGAAATGGAATTTCCATGACGCCACAAGGTGACATGAACTCTTTCAGTCAGGCTGCGGCACATGGACACAGGTAGGATGGGAATGGGTCTGGCTGTGTGGAATAAGTATGGTTGGCCTGAAAAACTGACATGGGTGGACTGACATCTGATCTTCACTGTTAAAATTGAATCATACTGCACACATGATGTGGACTGTTTGACAGTCCGGTGTGTACAAGAGACTGAGATTGGGTTTAGAGATTTGTGTTAGCATGTGATTTTGATCAATCTGAGGCACACACTGCATTTTCAGCATGTGGAAATGGAAGCAAATGCCTTCTGAAGTGTGGCAGTTTGTTGTTTACAAAGTTATAGTCAATGTGGAAGTGCCAGTGCATGCTGGAGACTTCCCCCTGAATTTATTTGCACATTTCTAGAGGTACCTGCTACAGCCATAACTGTGATTAAACAAAGTTTTTATGATTAGTATTACAGTATACTGATATTTTTGCTTGTGTTAAGATTATGTATGTGTCTGGAGACAGCGTGTTGGTAGCGTGTTATAAATTTAAAAATGAATTAAATGAACAACTGTTATGTATGATCAGTTATTTGTGCCAAATCCAGGTACTAATTACAATGTTATGGATCAGTATTAGGACCTTCACATTCATACTTTTCTACTTGTAGCCTTCCAGAGGAACGTAGATGCAGGTTAGAGACAGTATCTACATTATATTTGCTTAGAGAAAAGCGCTAACAATCTAATGATACGCTATGCAGCTGTCAGGGCTGGTTCAGGCAATGCTGCCCATCTGCAGCCAAAGAGCAGTCCCCTGCAGGAGTAGGGTGGGGTGGGGAGGGAGTTTGTAAAAATGCCTGTGTGGTGCCTAATGGGGTGGAGTGGGAGATGCTTCATGCTGTCAGAGAGAACTGCAGAGCAATTTCCCTTGTGGAAATCAAGGCTTCCCCCCCTTTATTATGACACCAATTGAGACATCTCAGTGGTTCACACACTCCCCATCTCCCAGCTAGTTTTACAGGAATGCTCCCTCTATTGTTCCTCTACCCACACATCTCTACCCTCCATTCCCCAGGACATACTGCTTATTCTCCCTCCCCACCCCACCCCACATTGCCACTTATCCCTACCCTGTGCTTAATTTGTGCCAGGGCTGAGCCCCGGTTCCCATAGGCCTGGCAGTTCCTAGTCCCAGCACCCCTGGGCTTGTGGTACCAGTTATGAAAGTAAAAAATATGCTTGAACCCCAGCACTTCCTTCATTACAAATTAAGTGCTGCCCTACCCTGATTCTCCACACAACACCACTACACAAGAACTACTCTTCTGAAGCCTATGGGCTTACACTGGTCTAAACCTGGTGGGAGTGGAGTATCCAAATCCATACTGCTGAGTTTTGAGCTTTGCGGCTCAGGGAAATGACTTTGCGGCTGGAGTCCCAGCTTTGCTTGAACCTGCGCTTCCAGATGTAGTTGGATGATTAGTAGCTCCAGCTTTACCAAGACTGCTGTGACTGTTAATTGAGAGTAATGGTGTTTTCCATGGTGTTAGACAGTTCCCTTTTTCAAGTTTCATCTCTATCTGTTATTTGCTTCTAACTGCATCTTTTGTGAAAGGCACTAAAGAGTTTCTAAAGACAACCCCATTTCCCCATAGTCTGGGATAGATTGGAAGCCTGTGTGGAAAAACCTTGGCAGAATCCTTTAACAGTCACTGCTGGATCATAAGTTTCTGTTTTAAGTTTCTGCTGCACATATGACATTTGAACGGTGCTCCTGCTGGTCCTTAGAACAATGGAATCCACCCAGCAGCTGCGATGCAGGCACAACTCCTGAAGTGGAAGGAGTATTGCCTGCATAAGGACTGCAGGCACTGAGCACTATGTGAATTAACACTTTCTACAATAATTCCGGATTGGCCTTCTTTCCCTGTTACAGAAAATGTCCCACTCAGAAGGAAAACACAGTAGCTAACTCCAGTTTTCTCTCCTTCTTGCATTGTGGCTGACAGGAATGTGTTTCGTAAGCTGCTTGCTCAGCCAGAGAAAGAGAAGAGTGATATTCTGTCCCTGGAGGAAATACTGGCTGAAGGAACTGACTTGGCAGATGCTGCACCAGCTCCTTTGTGTGCCAGCCGCAACAGCAAGGCCAAACTGAAAGCACTGAAAGAAGCCATGTACCACAGTGCAGAGCATGGATATGTGGATGTCACCATTGACATAAGGAGCATAGGTCAGTCTTGATGTCCTCTGCACTTTGTCTCCCAATGGTCATGTGTGCTTTGGTGGGCACAATGCCTGTCACTCCCACTGACTACCTTTGAATGTTCCTGAGTTTTATGAAAGCAATAACTGGGGGGGGACTTTCAATGTATGTGGGAATGCAGAACGGGGGAAGTAAGTCAGTATAAATTGGGTTCAAAGCTGTGATTCTTGGAGGATCCATGAAGTCCGTTTTATTTTAATGCTGAGGAGCCATGGCTGACTGAGGTAATATTCCCAGTGTGGCGTGTTTTGCTTTTCTTTTCACAGTCATGTATGCCACGCATCACAAAATGTGGCAATTCTCACATATTTAGGCAGATTTCTTTCTGTTGTGTTCCCTCATGAAGGGGGTTGAAGGGTCAGCCACATGCTCCAATTTGGCGTATTCTAACAGCGTTCTTCAGAAGCACATTGGGCAGTTGGGTGGGAGTCACTGAGCATGAGCCACATGCAGCGGTAGTCACCCCCTCACATGGAGGTGCTGGAGAGCTGATACACCAGGCCTTTTCAGCCCCAGTACTTGGTAGAATGCCGGGCATGCCTCATTTGTTCAAAATGCTTCAGCTGCTCAGCTTTGTAGGCTCTGGCCCTTGGTGGAGCTCAATAAACACTTTGGCTCAAAAGAAAGGATGAATTGCTAGGACTGGCTTCTTCGCCTCTGCTTAGCTAGGTGTCCAACTAAAACAACTGGGCAGCTGTGCCATCACTACATGCACCAGCTCTCACAACCACCCACCTGCTTTCAAACACCACGCTCCTTTCAGAGCCCTGAGGAACTGGCCTCCTAACGATCAGAGAACCGTCTCCTTTTTGCTGAATGCAACCCTCTGTCAGCCGACGGTCAGGGCAGTGTGTGTGTGTGTGTGTGTTACCGGGAAAAGGTTTAACATCCGTGACTTTACCGCTAGGGCCGGGGTCCCATCGCGGAGGGCAGCCAACAGGCTGACAGACGCCCCAGAGTTTATAGGAAGAGCTTATTACATCTCAGGTTTCAGCTGCTAGGATACAGGATCCCTTCGCAGCGGGCAGTCTAGGGAAGACTGAGAGATGCCCCAATGGATCTGTCACCTGGGAGTGACACGATCCAAAACGCCCAAGCTCTTTCTGTACCTGTCCCTTATGACCGGCTGAAGTTCTTTTAAATTGTGCTTGGTTCTGTTACAGCAACTGAAGGAGTCAGGTTAAAACTTAAACAGTTACAGGTTTATTAAAGAAGCTTATAAATCATATGGTTACAATGGCTATTGCTCTATTTCTTAACTGCTAGCAAATATAGATCTTAAAAATGGTTACAAAGAAAATAAAGATAGAAAATAGAAATAATGGTACCAAGTGACAGCTTAATCTTTAAAGAGCTCTAAGTCTATGTGTACACTTAAGACAAAGGACTACATCCAGGGACAATTTTTACCCCCTTCTGTGCCTCTCGACTCCAGCGGTTTAAGCCAGGGCCGGTCCCTCAATTCCTAGGAAAGACGAATACAAGGTGGGCGTCTCCTTGGAACCTCGGGAGGTCAAACACCTAACCCGACCAGCAGATAGATGGTAGATTGACACTCAGAGTAAATGTGCTGCTGGACCCATATTTATACCCATAGGGGTCTGTATCCTCTTTCTTATCTAAGATGCCAAATTGTGTTGGTCCGTTTTGTGGCGCCAGTTCTTACAAGCAAATTTTAACTTAATTTACACTTGCAAGAGAGAGAACTAAATTGTGAGTACGAGACATTTTTTTACTGGGCGAGAGATTCCTCCCCCCTCGGACAGCTGTGTGTTCGTATCAATCTGGGTTTCAGTCAAGGGCACTCCTCGGCAGCCTCTTGGTCAGCAATTGGCGTATCTCTGTTTACAGCCATTCACAGTCACAGCAGCCTGCCATATCCGGAGCCTCCTGTTCAAGGCTTTTACTGCTCTGTGTGCCCTGCATGCTCCAGGCAAGCAAAGATGGATGTTACAGGGGGGTTCCTGTCTGGCTACACCCTCCCAGAGGGGGAGAGAGGCAGTGATTTGTTCAGTGCACTAATGGCGTAGCTCTGCAGCCTCTTCAAACACCTTCTCCAGGGGCAGTCAGTCAGTGCTCAAGGAAACCATTTTGTTCTGATTGTTGACTCTTTTACCACATGTGTGAATCAGTGCTTAGTGAGAGACCAAAAGACTTCTGCTGCCAATCGTGCCTCTGAGCAGCATATCCAAGAACACCGAGTCCTGTAATCCCATCACATGGAGCATGATTTCCACTCTGAGTTGCAGTTTATAACAGGTTTGCATACACTCCACCCACAGATGGATGGAATGGTTGTGCAATTGGTTTAGCAAAGTACTGCCTACTAAGTGAATGTCAGAGGTGCCCATGGGAGCGGGCAGGGGAGGACTGGACGCAAGGGCCTGCCCACTTGTTGTGGTGGAAGGAAGTAGTGGGCATGCAGCACCTCTGAGGAACCAAGGTCTGTGGTGTAGACATGAGAGCCTCAGAGGGGAGGGGTATGTTTGTTCTTGCACTCTTCCACGAGTGTATCCCACCAGTGAGTGTGTGTTACTGGTCTCACGCTGCCAGAGGCTTGGCTGGTTAGTTCAAGCTGTAGTAGCGTATGCTTTTTAATTCTGGAAGTCACCAGTTTAATCCCTGGTGCGTCTGTCTAGATCAGTGGTTCCCAAACTTTTTGGCATCACGCCCCCCTTTTTGATTTTTGAAAAACACACACACACACACACACACACACTAGCAGAACTTGTTGAGCAAAAAAAAAAAGGAAAAAAGGAACTGAACAGAGTAGCAAAACTTGATGTGGGGGGGAGGCTGGGTCGCCTCGTGCCGCCCCTGGAATTCCTTCATGCCCCCTCCAGGGGGGCACACCCCCCAGTTTGGGAACCCATGGTCTAGATAATGGCCATCACACAGGCTGGACTGCAATCCATTCCTTGATTACTATGTTTTGGACTAATTTAACTGCCTTCCGCTACTGCATGTTTTGTAGCAATTTCTTTTACATTCTTAAAGTGCAGTGGTGTGCTGACAAATAAAACAGGTCCTTGTGTAATGCTAAAATGCTGGCTGTTCCCTCTAGGGGGCGCTGTCGCCTGAAATGCTGGCTGTTCCTTCTGGGTGGCCCGTGCTTCATGGGGAGTGTGGGGCCAAACGGCTGCTTGCGCCGCATGCTTCCGCACAGTGGCCCAGCTGAGTGGCGCAGAAGTCAGCCGAGTGTCATGGCAGAAGGAGAAAGGGGGCGGGGCAGTGACGTACATGCCCAGGGGGTGGGGCCTGGCCGTGAAAGTCACCGCCCCGCCCCCCTTCGCCTCCTGCTGTGGTGCTCGGCTGATTTCTGCGCCACTAAGCTGGGCTGCCATGTGGGAATAAGTGGCGCAAGCGTCCGTTTGGGCTCCATGCTCCCCATGCACCACAGGGAGTGCGGAGCCCAACTGGCCATTTGGGCTCTGCAGTCCCCCGATTGAGAGGCAGGAGGGGAGGAGAAGAGAAAGAAAGAGATAGAGAGAGAGGCAGGAGGCGGAGGAGAACTGAGAGAGCGGGGGGAGGCAGTAGAAGGAGGAGAGAGAGAAAGAGAGACGGAGTGAGAGACCGGAGGCTCAGGAGAGAAGACTGACGTGGAGGAGAGACCTGAAAATCCCGTCTTATGATGGGCTAATTGGCTAGTATCAACATAAGTGGAAAAGCATGGTTTGGAGGAGTGGCGAGGAAGATCTAAGCATTTTCCTCTCCAGGTCACTAGTTCAAATCCAGCCAAAGCCAACACTAACTAAATATTTTTCAGCCTGATGGCTCTTTGGTATCCCACTGCAAATGAGTGCAGTGGCATAAATGTAGTTCCCTGTTGGAGTCAGTATCACAAATCACAACTGGAGTGAAAACTAATTGGTTCAACTGAGAGGCTAAATAATATTACTTAGCTCTTGTTTCGTCAGTAGCATAGTCACCGACTCTGTGGGTGTTCTGGGCTACAAGCAAGCACCCACTGGAAAAAAATTGGGATGCTCTGCATCCGTAACTTAGCAGTAGGTGGCAGGCATACTTACATGGTGTGCAAAAACCATTTTGTTCTGATTGTTGACTCTGACGGGAGCAGGCGTACTTACATGGTGTGCAGTGAAACCAGAAGGCACAAAGAGGCCACTGGCAAAACCAGAAGTCAACACCTTTGATTAGGAGGTCTCAAAATATTTCACACACTAATAAATGTATCCGTACAACACCCTGTGTGGGGAAGGGGGAGAGGTGTCATTATCCCCATTTTATAGATGGGGAACTGAGGCACACAGGGACTATGTGACTTGCCTGAGGTCACACACAAAATTTGTAGCAAAACAAGGAACTGAATTTGGGATTAGATGATATCTTATACTTGGAGGCATATCCCTGCAGTTGAGGGTTAAGACCTAGTGATGGACATTACTTAAGGAGGAAAAATAGGAGGTTGAATTCTAGGGCTTTCAATTTGGCATCATTCACAAGCCCTTCAGTCACACAATTAAAGAATAATTTAACTATGCCTCATTCTGTGATGATCTGGAATATACACATACCTTTAGCATTCATCTTTTTGTACAGGGGTTCCCTGGACACTACACACATGGTTGGAGTCTTTGCGAACTTCCTTTCAGCAGCACAGAAGGCCTCTCATCCAGTGCTTGTTGAAGGAATTTAAATCTATTCAGGAGGAAGAGTACACTGAGGAGCTCATCACACAAGGATTGCCTTTGATGTTCGAGATACTGAAAGCAAGTAAGGTAAGAGACATTCTGGCTTCTGAATAAATTAACACAACCCTCCCCCCGCCATAGTATTACACAGATCTCCTGAAACTCATTTCACTGTGTGAGATTTTCTGTATTTGTTTCCTGGTTTTCAAGTACAGATGTGTGGGTTAAAAAAAATAAAGACAGCTATATACATCTACTGCTAGGACAGCTGAATACTGACGCTAACAGTGAGCAGGAGAGACAACAGAAGCCAAAGCCTAGTGGTAAAATTAAAGTCACCAGGGTCAGTGTAGTACAGCAAGAGATGTTGATAGCTGTGTCACCCAAGGTCAGTATCTCTCTCTAGCTGGCTTTCTAGAGCCATACAGCAAGGTTAATAATTATATTTGCTTTGGATTTCTTGAGCCAGTTTTTGGATCCAAATATTATCCTCTCCCAAACCTTTCTGCCCCCATTGTGGAAGATTTTGTGAGGACTTTTACAACCTCATTAGATCCTATTTAGGTCAGAGAATATCAATTTCTTTCCCTTTAAAATCCAGCAGAAAAAAACCTTCCACTATCTTGGAGGCCTAATGTGCAGGCAAAAACACCTTCAAAATTCTTCTATATGTCAGCATTAATGCTCCCACCCAATATCATTTCTTTAGTCTGACCTTTTTTGACCCACAACCAAGCTTTTATGAGGTACATACAAGTATGCAGCTACAAGAGAGCAGGGGCAGGTGTCCAGGGACAGTGGAAATATCTTTCTCCAATGAAGGCCGGATATTTTCTTTTTAAGCTTGATTCAGCCAAAATTAGCTTCTGAGCTGTTCCCATTGACTTCAAAACACAACAGGTTTCTCTCCTGGAAAATCCCAATAAAGCTCAATCTATTATCGATAAGAAGCAAGTATGTTAGTGGCCAAATTGAGAAGCAGCAGGAGTCTGATACGAAAAATATTTGCTTATTATTTGAATTGTTGACGATGGTGTCCATTAGCAAGGTCCCCATTGCTTGTTTGCATGAGAGCGAGTAACATTTCCCACCTACCTCCTGAACACCAACGTAGGCAGTGTATATTCTGCAGTACCCGCAGCAGCAATTTAGTTAATGTTAAAAGACCTAGATCTAAGGCTATGCCTACACTGATTCTGCAGTACCCGCAGCAGCAATTTAGTTAATGTTAAAAGACCTAGATTCTGATCTAAGGCTATGCCTACACTTCCGAGAAAATTTGGAAAAAGATATGTAAATTGTGGTTCGCAATTTCCATATCTTTTTCTGCTTTTTTTCTGGAAGAGGCTTTTCCGAAATTTGGCCCATCTTCACAGGGCCAAATTTCAGGAAAAAACTCCTCTTTTGGGACATTCCTTATTCCTCTCACTGTTCTGAAAAAGTGGACGCGTTCCTTGGACATGGCAGAACTTTTCCGGGATACCGGAGGTATTCCGGAAATGCTCTGCAGTCTAGATATAGCCAAAGTCACTGAATAACAAAAGATGGCAGTTGGTAGGAAGCCTAGACACAGATGTTGCCTACATTCCACTCCAGAAGGGACCAGGGCTCAGGCTCAAATATATATTCCTGTTTGAGTGAATTCCAGGGGCGAGGGCCTGTTACTGAGATCAGCCTGCCTCAAGTTCCTATGCGTTTCAGCTTTGAAAATTAGTTTATGCTGGATTGCTATCTGTGGAGGATTCCAGAGATAGTTCCAAGAAATTATTCTAAGCTCTGAAACATGTGGGCGCCTAGTAGGCCTAATGCATATTTACCCAGCACCTGACAGCAAGATGCCTGAGGTAAAACTAATTGGACTCAAACTATTAAGGGGATCATTTAGGAACTGTAATCTGGGAAGGGGGATATGATAAATTGTTGTTTTGTTGTGGATGACTGCAGCCAAAGCCAGTGGTTTTCACATGATCATCTTTAAAATAATGTATGTAGACGAGGAGTGGGCAAATAACAGCCTGTATCCAGTCTGCCAGAGTTAGCCTCTGGTAGGCCACCACCACTATATTTACCCGTGCCTCTGCAGCTATGGGCAATTGCAGCTCCCATTAGCCAGGGATTACCATTCCCAGCCAATGAGAGCTTCAAGAAGCGATGTCCCGGCTCATGCTGCTTCCAGCAGCTCCCATTGGCTGGGAACAGCGATCCACTACCAACAGGAGCGACAGTCACCAGTACCTGCAGAGGCACAGGTAAATATAGTGGTGACAGCCTGTCATGGGCTAACCCTGGCGAACCACTGCTGTTTTATTGGTCAGTCCCGATGTACACAGAATTAAACCCTTCTGATGTGTTAGGTCTTTGGAAGTCTCTGTCTTGAGAATTGTTCTGCTTTGTCACAATGCCTTCTTGTTATGCTTTGGATTCACTTTAAAGCCAAAAAAGATAGGGGTGGAGCAGACCCTGAAGCCCTCTTCTGGAGGCTTGCGGCCTTGCCATACCCTGTTCAACAAACCATAGAGAAGTCCTCCAGGAAAGATAGAGTGGTACAAAGGATGTAACAAATCAGGGCCCAGCAAGCCAGTTAAAAGGAAGCTGTTGGGCCAGAGTAAGGCAGTTCCTCCATGGAGCTCAAGGGGCTCATTTGGGGTAGAGATCTGGGTTGCAGGAGGGCTGCCACCTCTAGGAGTGCAGGAACGGGCACTCGGCTGAAAGAGGGCCACTTGCCTGAGCTGAGTGACACCCTATTAAAGGGGGAAACAACTGAAATAGCAGAAAAAGCCAGCAAGAGATAATACACTATTCAGCTTCCCTCCACACTCTGTATACTCATATCATTTCATGCTCTTAGCTGTTCAGTGAATCACTGTAAAGACTTTTAAGATGTCTGCCAATGGCAAGAATTATGGCCATCACCTTGTCCAAATGGGCTTTTGTGAACAGCTCCTGCACAGAGAAAGGATCGAATATATTCAATGGCTACGTCTACACTGGCATTGTTTTCCGCTAAAAGCATTTTTGGAAAAGCATGTCTAGATTGGCAGGATGCTTTTCTGCAAAAGCACTTTTTGCGGAAAAGGGTCCGTGGCCAATCTAGACACGCTTTTCCATGAAAAAGCCCCGATCGCTATTTTCGCAATCGGGGCTTTTTTGCGGAAAACAGTACTGTGCTGTCTACACTGGCCCTTTTGCGCAAAAGTCTTTTGGAAAAAGACTTTTTGCCCGAACGGGAGCAGCATAGTATTTCCGGAAAAGCACTGACGATCTTACATGAGATCGTCAGTGCTTTTCTAGAAATTCAAGCAACCAGTGTAAACAGCTGGCAAGTTTTTCCGCAAAAGCAGATGATTTTGCGGAAAAACTTGCCAGTCTAGACACAGCCACTATGTATAAGGCCTTTTGTGTTTAGTATTTAGTTTGTTTAACATTTCTTGGCAAATTATCAGAGTTTATTACAAAAATTGAAAAAATGTTTGGAGTTTTCCAGAATAAATATTAGAGTAGATGTGACACTTACTTGTGCTTCTTTTTAAACTTTCAGGAAAGCCCCTTTTGTTCTGAAATGCAGACACAGGTTTTTTGTTTTCAACCTATTTTATCAAGAAAAATAATTAGCTAACTTTTATTTGCTTTGAATGCTGACAGCGATTTATGCTGTCTGTAAAGCTAGTAACATGTCCGTGGCAGGCATGGGACTGTCCCCAGCATATACATCAGCAACTAATTCCAGGAGTTCTACTATGGCTCCCCATGCCAGATGGAGAGATGGGTGTTCTCAAAAACAATAGCTCAGCAACCTGGGAGTTGTGGCATTTCTGAAATTTGGATAAAAATAAGTATCAGTTGAATAATGGCTTTTGTAAAACCCAGGCAATTTTTGGCAATACCAAAAATAAAAGGATTTAAGAATATTGGAAGGCGCTGATTTTCATAAGTGCTGGGGAATGCTTCACCCCCAGGTCTGCCCCAGGCTCCAACATCTTCCACCACAGCCCCACCCTACCCCACCTCTTCTTGCTCCACCCTCACTCTGCCTCTTCCTGCTCAATGCCAGCCCATCCCAAGCATGCAGTGTCCTCACTCCTCCAGCCTCCTGAATACTATGAAACAGCTGATCGTGGCAAGCGGGAGGTGTGGAGAGGACAGGGGAGGTGCTGATTCATGGGGCCCACCAGCAGGCGGGAAGTCCTAGGAGCTGAGGGGGAGATGATAGAGCGGCTACCGGTGGGTACTCACCCCACTTGCATACTCCATGCAAGGGCAGAGACTGTTGCCTCCATGCACCACCAGGGATGGAAATCCACACACTGAGAGGTGGGGAAGGAGCATGGCTATGGTTTGGACTCTGCCCCACAATTTGTAGAGCCAAGGAGCTGCAGAGAGGGTGGCATGGTTTATCCAAAGGGATGTGCCCTCCCGTGTGTGCTGTGATCTCAGGGAGGTATTGTGCCTCTTTTGCTAAATACCACAGGCTGGCCCCAAACATTTCCTTAAGTGTGCTGGGGAGTAAAAAATAAAGGTAAAATAAGTAGCTAGGAGACAGAAAGTCACTTAAAATTTCTTGGTCAATGTATAGTAGCATGTCCCATATGATGCGCATTATGATGTTTAGTGTGTTGTACTTGAATGACAATTTATATTTAAGAATAGCAACACATTGCATTTCTATAAATAGTTCCATTTTTCCAGTAATCTCCAGCATTAATGAACTGAGCCTCATGGTGCCCCTGTAAAGCTGGTAAATCTTATCCTCATTTTGCAAATGGAGAAACTGAAGCACAGAGAGGCATGCAGCCACATTTTCACCATGGTGCACTGCAGAGTGCTCTATACTGTGAAAATCAGGCCAGGTTGTCTAAAGGTGGGCACCCAGAAGTTGAAGCACCCACTGGCTACTTATTAAAAGTATGGCCTAAGTGACTCTCCTGCAATCACTGAAAGCACAGAACAGAGTCATGAATAGAACCTGGTTTGGTTATGCCTATTCTTGTATATTAGCTGAAAGACCTTTCTTCCCCTTACTCAGACTGAGCCTGAGGAAATATTCCTGGAAGTTCCCAGGCCATCCAGTATATATCTAAACTGCACACTAACCCCGGGACTGTGGGAACTGGGCTTGTGAACTCGGTGTTTCCATACCTGTCCTTGAGCATCCACACTGCATTGTTTATCTAGATTTACAGTTATTAGACCAGGCTCTCACAGCTGTGCTAGCAAGTCTACACACTGCACTATGCAACTCCTTTGACTCGGGTCTAGGGCTTGACTTGCATCCACACTGCAGAATGACAAAACTTGGACTTGAGTCCTATGTGGCTCTGGCCCCCCTCCCTAGCAGTATCCAGATTTTAGGATCCAGATGCCAACTTTCCAATGGAAAACTTGCAGCCAGGCAGAACTGCTCTCTCCGTTTGGCTGACTGACTGACTGCAGTTGGCATTCTCTGCTCCCCTTTAAACACCAAAATGCTGCTGCTGTTGAACACAGAAAGAAAAACGTATTTTTGGAAACTCCACCTTTGAAACAAAGAATGGAAACAAAAGCTAGAAAAACAGGCAAGACGGGTGCGCACGACTGAGCTGAAATCCCAAATAATGTTTCGTCTCAGAAATCATAGGGGTAGAACAGTCAGTAAATGTTTAGCAATGCACTGTGGCAATTAGGGAAGATTTCCAAGGCAAAAATGGAAGTTAGGCACCTAGCTCCCATTGATTTTCAATGGGAGTTGATCTCCTAATTTCCCGTTATGGTTCTAAGCATCTCCTCCTTAGCCAATGCATAATACAGAGATGTTTCCATTCTGCTGAGAGAGAAATATCAGAATGCACAGAACATTCGTGTGCCCAGTCCCATGGGGGAAGGCTGATAGTCAACATGAAACCTTCACCAAGCTCCTCCTAGAACCCTGGGTGGTGTGTGGAAATAAAGCTATTAGCTCAAAGCATGGTGCAGAGCTGTTTGGTATTTGATGAGTTACTCCTTTAGTCCTGAGTTTGTCACAGGGACAGAAATAGATGTGAAATCTTCTGAACAGGGGAACAGACAGCAAAACAAACATTAGAGGGGAGTTAACCTTTCCCTATGCTATCCAAAACTAAAAAAAATGTTTGGCTAGAGTTTCCCCTACAATATGTACCAGTTCCGACTTACATACAAATTCAACTTAAGAACAAACCTACAGTACCTATCTTGTACGTAACCCGGGGACTGCCTGTATCACCTAAAAGGTTTATAAATTTCCACTGAAAAGTGGATGTTTTCTAGGAGAGTGTGGACGTTTCCCAGCCATCTCTAAGCCTATGGTCCCCATCTTCTCACTACCTCTCCTTTCCCTTCTTTGGAGAGATTAGCTCCAGTAGAGGCTTTTGCCCAAAGCTGTCTTTGTGCTTGGGATAGTGCAGGGACTCCAGCTTGAGGTCGGTCCTAAATAATGGTGTGGGTCAGGAATACTGCTTTCATCCCCCAGTGTCCTTGTGCACCCATCCAAGGGTGCCTTTCATCTCTTAGCAGTGCTTGGATGCATGCTGTTGTGTCCTAGGAGCCGTTGCATACATAATGGAAGGCTCTTTCCGGCAGGTGGTAGGGGCTGGAGACTATAATAATTTTCATTTTATTTTTTGTATTGTAAAAGTTTGTACTAATTCAGCTAACAAAAAAATACAGTGCAACCTCTGAGTGATCCCTGGCCATGAGCAGTGACCGGTTTAGAGAATTACCAAGATGATTAGTGCAATTTAGTCTGAACTTCAGATAAATAAATGATGGATCTTTTTTCTGGGCCCTCAATTGATCTCTTAAACCAAGTTTCCCCACACTTTGGTAATTGCAGCATCCTATAGTGTTGTGTACCATCCTTTTCAGTACAGGTTGGACCTCTATCATCCGGGCTTCTGTAGTCTGGCATCATCTGTGGTCCAACATCCCCCTGGGTGCCCCCTGGGCCGGAGCACTCACAGGAAAAAAGCTGAGCCCCACACTCAGCAACTACTTCCCTGCCCTCCCAGAGCTTCCAGAAAGCTGCAAATAGCTTATTTGAGGTGCTCAGGAGGAGAGGGGGGAGGAGAATGGATGTGGCAGATGCTGGGGAAAGAAGCAGCGTGCTGCAGAGCCTCATGGCTGGGGGCCAGGAGCGCAGCCCCGCAGCTGGTGGCGGGGGTCAGGAAAACAGCCGAGAGGCTGAAGGGCTTGGTGTGCTCTAAGAGGGCTGCGCTTCTGGCCCCCAGCTGCAGGCTCCACAGTCATCTGTCTCTTCCTCCGAGCACTCCCCAGTCCCTGCTCGATCACTGTGGCCCCTCTGCTGCTGCTAGGGTGGAGCCCTGCAGCCTGTGGCAGCAAAGGGGCCAACATTGACTTCCCTTGGTCTGGCAGATTCCCTGGTTTGGGACCAGTCAGGTCCAAGGGTGCTGGACCAGGGAGCTACAACCTGTACTTCTGTGTCTAAGCAATTCAAAATGGCCAGCACCTGAGTCCTCCACACACATAGGTCTTGCAATCTCCATGTGAGAAGTGACTAACAGGTATGGGGTGGCATGCTAATAACAGATTGTTAACCCACTGTCACCATGTTTCTGTAGCATAGATTTATATTCATACTCACCCAGATTTGATTTTACCTCCTTCTATTCACATACTTGACCCAAAGGACATTGGAGCAGAGGTTTCACCGTGAATAAAACGTGCTGTGTATATGACACCTGTGTTATCAGAGACTGGATGCACTGTTTCTATGATACGCCTGCCCTCTTCTGGTTCATCACCCAGGGATTAGACTCAGCTCCTGGAGCTGTGGTGTCTGTACACAATACATGGCTGTGATGTAAAGAACCTTTTGAAACAGAATCTTGGCAGTTTTCCCAGCATCACCAGTGATTAATTCCATTTTGCCATGGAAGGGCCCACATCCGGTGCTAATAAAATCTATTTTGTTATGCAGTTTGTTGCCTCTCACTGTACACTCAACCTCTAGGGCTTCCCTCCATTACAGTTTTTGATGAATACTAATTATGTGTATGCCACTTAATTGTCTAGGAACAGCCCTCTAAAGTGACATTTAACCATTCTTCTTGCAGCTAATAAAAGTGAGTTTTACAGCAGAAATACCTAGAGAAAGATGAAAAGGTTCACAGAGATGGCAAAGAAAATCTTTTACTGAAGTGGGGATGTTTATCCAGGGAACAGAGACTGACAAAAAAGTTTCCGCATCACTTAACTCCATATGTTTCTTTTATGGTAGGGAGAAGTGTTGGGTAGAATAATCATTCTTTGCCTGCCATGGACTGATTTCTCAACAGATTGGTACACCCTGGTGATGTCTCCCTGCTGGAATTGTCCACTAAGGCCATCAGCAAACAGCATAGGGTAGAACTGCCTTCAGGCTACATTATATTTTGTCAGGGGTGGCCAGGCTTCACGCGGCTCTAGGATCCAGGAAAGCAAAAGTGGCTTAAAGGCATCTTTTCTATACATCCCTGTTCCCCTGAGCTGCACCATGTGTCTCCTCAAAGAGGAGGGATACTAACTAAAAGGCAGGGATTGAGAGGCCTAGAAGAATTGTTACCTTAGAATGTTACTTTTCTGTTTAGAAGGTCCGTGTCTACTGTAGGTTAGTGTTTGGGGGCCTGGTGGCAAACTGAGTCTTTTGGAGAGATTTGAGGGCCTAGCACATTGGGTTTAGCAGGAACAATGGCAGGAGAAGGAAACCAGGGTGATGGGGAGGCTGGCATAGGTGGAGTTTGGGGCAGGAGAATGTGATTTAAAAACCAGACTCAAACCATACTCTAGGGCAGAGGTGTGCTGGGCTTCAGGGGAAAGGACAGGAATCATAATTTGTTAGCGAGACCGTGGAGGGGAGGTATAGGAGTGATATGGTCTCATCGACAGCCTTAGCAGCTGCATTTTGAACAGACTGAGGAAAAGCAGTATAGGAATGAATGAGGGTGTAAAAGAAAATCCTGACATGGACAAGCGTCTTAGAAGTGAGAAAGAAAGAAGAGTTAAATTTTAACCTAACTGGATGCAAAAAAAGCAATTTGTTCCTATTATGGTTCTCTCATGGGAGGTGATTCTATGGGGACTGAATGCCCTCAATAGCTATTGAAAGTAAGTGTTGAGTGCTCAGTATCTCCAAAATTGTGCTCAACAGTTCTCATGATCAGGACATAACATAGGACAGGATGAGGCAGGGAGCTCTAAGGAGCAAATTGTTTGGAATAGCCTTTTCTGAGCACTGCAGATCTTCAGCAAAGGGGCTTTTGGAAGACCATCCACACATACTATCCACTGGCTGGTTCTACCCCCCCCACCCCCCAACCCCTTTTGTGCTCTAGAACAGTGAGCAAGGGTCTCTGGTCTGGCAACTTCAGCTGTGTCTAGACAGAGAAACTCATTTTTCTCTCCAACCAATTCAATGCATGCGATCCCCAAAATACTGTAAATTGCTTTTGTTCTCTTCTAAAGAATGCTGTGAAGGCACGAAGCTGCCTCTGTCCTTACAAAGCAAAATTTCGTACTGCCTCTCTATCCAAAATACCATCGCCATTAACTGGAGGAGCTGTGGTTCCCCCTCGCCTTTGTGTCAATTAACTCTTGGTTGGGGAATATCTTCATTATATCCAATGTCAAACTGTATTCCCCCTCATACCATATAGAAACACATCCAGCTCTGCTCCCAGCAACTGAATATCCATGGATGAAAGGAGATTGGCCTCAGTCCAGCTCAGCATCACACATGCTGGCAAAATCTTACCAACATCAGACTGCAGCAAAAAGACACATTGTTTGATCCTTCAGTTTCAATGTCATCCTAGACAAAAGAAGCTCCTGCAGCCTTTACTTTCTAATCTTGTGCCAGGGGGACAGGAATAAGCTGATCCTATGGGGAAAAGAAGAATTTCCTCCCACAGTGTTGCATGATTGTGCAGGTATTTCACAGGGTGGGCTAGGTAACTATGGCACACACTGAACTATCGTATCAGTAATGCGAATGTCAGAAGGAATGTTGGACTTTTACTGGATTGTTTCTCTCTTCCGGTATGGCAATTGTCATGGACCGAGCGCCATCCTTAGTTGCCTGTGCTTAGCTCCCAGTTAGTTCAACAGGAGCCTTCTCCCACCCCAACCCACCCACATCCAAGAGAGAATTTGGCCTTAATTTTCTCTGTGCCAGCTATTTCTTACTCAGCAGCCCAGGATCATAGATTTCCATCAATGATGAAGGCCTCCTTTTATCTACCCTCTCTGCTGCTTCTTCCTGCCTGCTTTATTGTTAAAATCTGCAGGCTTCAGAGATCATTTCCAGTATCCACATCCCTCAAAGGCCAGCATATGTGTCACAGTCTGAGCTGCCTTGTTATAATGACTTTCCCCTTTCCCTTCCATGTCCTTGGTGTAAATGTATTGTTTGGGAACCAGTAATCTGAACTAGCAGTTACTTGCCCTCCTGTTGGTTTTTCAGATTAGAAATGTTTTGGCCTTTCAGTCATGTCTGTCAATCTTGTGAACTACTGATTGTATCAACAGCAAGCATATGTCTGGACTGCCCCCCAAATGAAAACTACTGACAGGGCTACAAATATCAAGTTCCACACTGGGTAAAATAGAATGATTTGTCTGGTCTTTGTTTTCTCTTATATTCTAGTCTATATAGAATTCTATGGTGCATTCATCAGTGTAGTATCTGAATGCCTTCCAGCAGTGCATTAAGCAATGTGACTGTGCATCTGTCATGTGTTGTTTGCTCTCTCATCTTCTCCCAGAGGGAGAAACGGGTGCAGTGGAGTGTCTTGTGTTGGTACCATGTGAGTTTATATATATATATATATATACACACACACACACACCTGTTACTTTCTGTCAAAGAAGGCAAGGTCAAAAAATGCACCTTGCGCTTGTCATGGGAAAGTGGTGAGGTTTGTGGAGGTCCTTGGTTCTTTGGGGAATTCATTCTGTAGCCTCAGACCACTCCTGGTGAAAGTTGTCTCTTGCGCAAACAAGCTTTACTTATATTATCAGAAGTTCCATTGTTGCAAGGGTCTTCATCCCAGAGCTTTAGAAGATCTTTTAGAGACTTTGGCCCAGGACATAAGGATCTTTGACGTGAAGGACTGAGATCTTGAACTTAATTCAGTATTCTGTGGGAGGTAGGTGTGAAGAGCGGGAGACAGGTTGTTAGCCTGTGTTACTGAGGAGGTGATCTGCAGCATTCTGAACTAGTTGGAATTTCCTAAGTGCTGAAGGCTTCATGCCCAGATGTACTGCATTGCTGTAATCCAGCCATCGGGCGCAGAGGGCATGAATGACTGAAGCAAGGTCTTCACCAGGATGGGATCCTAATTATATGATCACTTTTCTATAAATCCATGTTCCCAGAAGAGATCAAGTTCCTAAGCCAGGCACACAAGCACCTGAGGGATTTGTTTTCATATATACATCCCACCCTGGTTTTTATTTGTGGACCTATGCTTAAATTCGACACTTTACGCCTAAGTTTGAACAAAGACTTTAATTATCTTACCCATTACAAAGATAGCTTCCCAAATTATCACCTCTAATATCATTAGCTCACAGACATTTACCTCCCCCCCCCCATCCCCCTTCTGTTCTGAAATTTGATTTGTCCTTTTCATATGTGTTCATTTTTTTAATTGTATCCTTTGGTATATATGGTTATGACAATTTTCTTCCACTATTTGATCTGAGGAAGTGGGTCTGGCCCACGAAAGCTCATCACCTAATAAATCATCTTGTTAGTCTTTAAAGTGCTACATAGTCCTGTATTTTGTTTCAGCTACACCAGACTAACACGGCTATATTTCTATCACCATCAACCATTGTTAGTCACACAGCCTGGGCTACACAACTCCATGTTCTGACCTCCGTCCCTTATCCCCTTTCATTGCCTGCCCTGCTCCACTTTTCTTCATTGGGACACAACGTGTAAATCGAGTGCACAGCCAGGTAGTGTAACTTAGGCCCTGTCGACACTACAGCTTGTAGCCGGGTTTATAGTCAGTGACGTGACTCCCTCAAAACTCAAGATGTGGTTTGTGCCTGCATACCATATGGGTAATACTCTGTTAATAACTTGTAGCTGCTGACTGTGCTTTGCCCAGGTCTGTGGCCTAAGCTAGTACATAGCTGTCTTCCTGTAACCTATTTGTCACGCCATTTTTTGCAGTATAAATGCCCCTCCTCCCACACACACCCCACATCCCTGTGTAACTAGGCTGGCCAGCCCTTCTCCTTCCCAGTTCTCTGTGTGGTAGGACACTCTAGAGAGCAGTGCTCCACATCATGCTAGTGGTGCCGCTGCCGGGCATGTCATCCGAACACTCTATGCCCTCGTGAGGCACTAGGGGATAGCTGCCCAGCTTTCCCCATGATGCACTGGTATAAATACCTTTTGTCAGCATGCTAGATGTGGATGCTTAATCTTTGTTGACACTTGGGAGTGCTGCCAAAAAAAACCAACCCTGCTTTGTGGATGCAACTCAACCTTTTGGGTCAGGGTGAGTGTCATGAACCAGTAACAAAACCATAGTTGTACTAATAGCATGGGCAGAGCGTTCCACCATCCAGTCACTTTCCTCTTTAAATCTGACCTTAACCCTTCCTTTTCTCTTAGGCATCTGAGTCAAGTGCTTTGCTAAGCTTAGTATGAAAAACACTAAATACAAATATGCTGCCGGTGTATAATGTCCTCCCTGTAATTCATTTCTTTAAGCAAAGCAGCAGTATTTTTCTTCCCTGTTGAGCTGTATTCCCTAACTCCTGCTCAGGTTTTCAGTGAAAAACACATTTTACCTTTTTTGGCAATGTGAGTTACTTCAAGGCACTTCTGAGTATTCCTCTTAACATTAAGCCTGAAATAACAGGAGATACATTCTATCCTTGAGTTTATGTGCACGTCTGAGAGCACAGTTTGTTCCTATGCAATTTTCTTACACTAATCAATACTTTAAAACAGTACTTCCAGTACCTTTTCTGCATCGCCTAATATTTTATGTAAATTAGGGAACATGTGAGTATTTCCAGATGCATTTACAATTAAAGCTTCACTTTCTGTTCTATGCACATATTTGTAAGGTTATGGATTTTTTTAATCTACCTGGCTATTCCTGTGGCTCCCCTTCACTGTAGTATCTGAGCTCCTTTCAATCTTTTAATGTGTTTATTCTTGTAGCACCCCGTGAGGCAAAGAAGTACTATTATCCTCATTTTACAGGTAGGAACTGAGGCCTAGCGAGATTCTCTTCTTGTGTTTATTGGCCTAGTAGTCCATTAAGTTCAGTGAAGCTACCCCAGTTTTCACCAGCAGAAATCTGATATTTTCAGAAGCACGTAGTCCCATTTTTAAAAGTGATTTTGGCACTTTCAAGCCAAACTCCCACTTACTTTCAGTGAGTTTTAGGCTTCTAAGGGCTGAAGCACCAGATCTTTAAAGGTATTTCGATTCCTAAAGATGCCTAGTGGGATTTTTCACAGCTCCTAACTCCCATTGATACCAGCAGGTGTTAGTCACCTAGACACTTCTGAAAATCCCACTTTGTGCCTATCTACATCTTTAGCCACCTAAAAACCTTTGAGACTAGGACTTGAACTCCTAAGACACAGCCATTTTTGAACATTTACCTATAAATTACTTGCCCAAGATCACACAGAAAACTTGTAGCTGGGTTCAGTTCCTGGCTCTGCCATGGAGACTCAGGTTAGTGGCTGAATCACTAGATGATCTTTCCTTGTTTAGAGAAGCTAGTATAACACCATTCGGGCACATGCAGGGGAAAAGACACAAAATTCCATCTGACACATAACTAGAATTAAATTAAGAGATAATATTACAAGATATAGAACATCCATCAACATAAAAAACAAGGTCTGTTTTCGAGGAGCATTCGTACATTGCAGATATATTTATTTAGTAACTGTTGTGCCTCTAAAAAAGAAAATAAACCATTTCAGAAAGCCAGCTTAGTCATTTAGAGTAAAAATGAAATTCAATAATGAATTTAAATCCACCTTTCAGTAGAACTCTGCTAATCTTAACAGAGCCATTGATATGAAATTTATTTGGGTAAAAAAGCTTCTGGTAAAGTAATTTTTCATTTATGTGATGCATATTTGGAAGGAGAAATTAAAAAAAAGAATAATGAGGGATTGGAGAAGAAGAATTGATAACTGTAAATTAAAATTTTTAATAGTGCTTTTGTTGACCACAATTTTTTCACCTTAGAATTGTGTACTATTCATGGAATTCTAAGGAATTATTTGAGAGAGTACTTGTCAATTCACAAGCTTATACTTCTATTTATTTCTTTTATTTAGAATGAAGTGATAAGTCAGCAACTGTCTGTCATTTTCACTCATTGCTATGGACCCTATCCTATTCCAAAGCTTGTTGAAATCAAACGAAAGCAGACCTCTCGTTTAGGTAAGTATCAGGTGAAGTGCAGATCTCAGTGTTCACAGAATTGCTGCCCGAGGATTTGTAGAGAACAAAGGAAAGGAAAGAGAGCAAGTGTCAATTAAAATGATTGAAATAAAGTAAATCTTTAGGTTTCTAAGCATGGCTGTAAGAACTCTCACATCAGAAATGTGATTTCAGTTTGAATGCTCTGGCACTACGACATTCTTCTATGTATTATGCAGCCATTGTGGCCAGAACACACCTAATTGTAAAATGCAGAATTGGAAAAACTAGTCTAGGAGCCCAATCCTGCATATCTACTAACCTAAAATTTCCACTGAAATTGACAGGAGTCTCTGACGCCCAGGATTGGGGCTATAGTTTTACAAGTTACTTTTGGGTCTTTTCCCTTTACACTAAGGCCACACAGCCAAGTGATATAAAAGGGCTTTAGTGTACATGAGAATCAGGGCTTCTTGTGTTGCTTAGGTTCAGATATGAACAGGTGCAGAAAGAGAAGAGGACTAGAGAGCTATTCATTCTATACTTGGGGGTGAACTTTGAACAGTAGATGATGGATGGCTGTTATCATATATAAGTTAAAAATGACTTTCAGAGTTTTTGAATTGACTTTGTATAGATTCAGTTAGAATATCTACATATCTTCTACATCATACTTTTCAAACCAGCTTTGCAGGTTTTTCTCATTTAAAACATGTCCCCTTAAGCTAGTGTCTTTTCTCACCAAAACAGGAAAATGCTTTCTGTGCTTTTCATCTGTTCCTGACTAAAGTTTTTCTTTTACTTTTGTGATTCTAGATCCCCATTTTCTTAACAATAAAGAGATGTCTGATGTTACATTTCTTGTCGAAGGAAGACCATTTTATGCACATCGAGTGTTACTATTTACTGCATCCCCACGGTAAATGTCCAGATTTTTTTTTAAATAAATACAAATAATTTGAACATTTCTGTTGAGATTTGTTGGCACTAATGATTCAGGAAATGGGCTTCTTTCTCTGGGTTTGTTTAGATAATAATTTCTTGATAGTATGGTTTTGATTGGTTTGAAGGATATTTAACAAATGATGGGTTCTAGGCCCCAATCTTGCAATATGCTTTGTGCTTGCAGAAAAATCCTTGCCCCTGTACAAAAGCAGTGATCCATGTGAACACAGGGATATACTTGCACTGAGCTCAATGCAGTATTAGAGCCCTAGTAGTGAAAGAGTCAAACTCCTTGTAGGCTTAGTTTTCATATATATTGAATTGCCAAACCCTGCTTTGCACCTTTCCTATGGGTATTTTATTTACAGAAACAAGTGGCCATCACACAATCCATTGGGATAGTTTACATTTTTTTTAAATGGAATTCAGTGTACAGAAACATCCCACATAACTTCCAGTGGCAACAAGATTAGAACTTGAAACACCAGCTCCAAGCCAGCTTCAAGTAGGGCTTCCTCCACATCACAGGCCTAGTCTAAAAAAAAACCAAACCAAAACAAAAAAACAACTTGCATCAGTTTAATAGTGGTATATTGTAGCTAGCTCAGTGCAAATGTTGTATAAACATTTTTATTTTGGTTTTCATGGCTTATTTCCATTTAACATGTGTTTGTAAACATATGGGTGCCCTCTAATCAGAATAATCAGTTGTAAACAGATATAAATGCATCCATACAACACCTTAACTAAGGTGGTTTTCAAACCTATTTTAGCTAAACTGATGTAATTGGGCCAACTCCAGCAAATACTTTTAACCGATAAGCTGGGCTTGCACTACATCCAGAAGGTCTAGTTAACAACCATGAAGAAGGAATTCCAGAGTAAATGTTTCTGACAGTGCTCTGCTTACTTTCACCTGAGTTCAACTCTTGAGATTGTTGAGAGAAGCACCTCATTTGTTCGGGATGGGGGTGATGTATATGAAGGGAAGATTGTTTCTTTGATAGTCAAGTCCCAGACTCACTTGCCTAGCATTGAAAGGAATCTCATCAACATGAGCTGCTTGGCAAACAAGAGGAAGCTGTGGCCGTGAGTAGTCAGAAAATAAGAGAAATGAACCAAACCCCTTTTCTCCCCCCGCCAACCCTTAAGAATGAAAGTGGGAAGAGCAGTAGCCAGGAAGATCACCCAAATAGCACAACTGTCCAATCCTGCAGCCACTGTGAAATTAAAGTTCCCCTTGAAATCAATGAGAATTTGGCCTTAGTGAAAACTGCGGAGCAGGGCGCTCTTGGTGAATGACAAATGTGAAATACCTTTTTTTCTAGGCAACTAATTTTTCAGATTGTAAGTAAAGACTAGTTCTCATGACAATTGTGGAATATCTGCAGATAGAGAAAACAGGTGCTTGCAGTATGATATATATAGTGGAATCTTTCAGTATTGCTGTCTTTATGAAGTACCACTTTTCTGTGAACATGGAAATTCTCTGATTCTCCCCCCAGAAATGATTGCTATTGATCTACATTAAGGGATGTAACAACTAGCAATGTCATTTTTTCATTAATCTTTAGGAGGCTGGGCATTCCAGAGGCACCTAAGAGTAGCCAGGATGGTGGTGGATCCATTCAAAATACACCAACAAACACACCTTTTAAGTGTTCAGGAGTGTCTGTTTTTTAAGGCTTGGGGCAGGTTGTGGATGGAGGGAGGATCTCTAGGCAGGGGAGGAAGTTCCAGGTTGGAATTCCTAGCTCAGTGTTTCTCAAAATGGTCCATGAAACCACTTTGAGAAACCTGTTAACTGGCTGCTGTGGTGTGTGTACTTATCGGTGCCGCAGCTACTGAGCCTTGCACCTCCTATTGGCTCAGTTTTGCCATTTGCAGCCAAGGGGAGCCGTGGGAAGCAGCAGTCTGGCTCATGCTGCTTCCTGCAGCTCCTCTTGTCTGCAAAAAGCAGAACGGAGCCAATAGGAGCAGCGAGGTTCTGCGGCCACAGCACCAATAAATAAACACACCAGAGTGGCTAGTTAATAGGTTTCTCAAAGTGGTTTTGCATACCACTTTGAGAAACACTGATTTAAACTCTTGCTTAAGTCTGTTCCCTGTCTAGGATAATGCTGATGAGCTGTCCTGAACATAAATATTTTCTTGAATCAAGCCCAAAAGAGGTCTTCAGTTTCTAAGTGCATCAATCCCAATCTAGTCACTTAAACATATATAAAAGCGAAAAGGGGAATCTTAGGTTTATAGGTGCATAAAATAAGAACGGCCATTCTGGATCAGACCAAAGGTCCATCTAGCCCAGTATCCTGTCTGCCAACAGTGGCCAATGCCAGATGCCCCAGAGGGAGGGAATGCAACAGGTAATCCTCATGTGATCCCTTTCCCGTCATCCTTTTCCAAACAAACAGCTGCAAAGGACACCACTCCTACCCATCCTGGCTAATAGCCATTGATAGACCTTACCTCCATGAATCTATTTAGCTCTTTTTTGAACCGTGTTAAAGTCCTAGTCTTCACAATATCCTCTGGAAAGGAGTTCCACAGGTTGACTGTGCGCTGAGCGAAGAAGAACTTCCTTTTGTTTGCTTTAAACCTGCTGCCTATTAATTTCATTTGGTGACCCCTAGTTCTTCTATTGTACGAATAAGTAAATAACTTTTCCTTATTCGCTTTTTTCCACACCAGTCATGATTACATAGCTGTATAAATTTCACGTACAATTACAATTAGCAAAAATGAATTCTACTCTGCTTTTATGTCCAAATCTATGATTGAAATGAGAATTCTAACATTTTGAGAAAAGTAATGTAGCCAATTCTTTTTCTCCTCATCCCCAAACAATTGTATTAAATCTTCATTAATACATTAAAGTATTAAACTGTTTTGTGTAGAATCTTCAGTGTTTTATCCTGGCCGTCTTGCAAGCCAGCACAATGGAGCGAGCAGTGAGAGGGGAAAAAAGCTACAAATATTTAAAATGCAAGTTGATTTTAATCCAAAAAGAAATTTTGAATTTTTTCATAGTTGCAAGTTTTACTCAAAAATAGACTTATTTCAAGCAAAGAAAACATTCAGCCCTGATCCTGTTATAGGTTCCAAATGGGTACAGCATCTATATTTTCTAGGTTGTGTTTTTTTCACAAAATTAGATATGTTTTTCCAGAAACTCAGAATGACACATCCTAATCAATGAGGTTACCTAATTTCACTTTGAATTTGATTACATGCCACTAAGGATGCATCTACACTGCAATCAAAGATGTGATTGTGGCTCAGGCAGACATACTCGTGCTCACTGTCGTCTAGCTAGCTCGGTTAAGAACAGCGGTGAAGGTGAAGCAGCACAATGCAGCATGGGCCTGTCAAAGCCTGCCCATAAGCTGGGTATGAACTCACACTACTAGCCTGCCTGTGGGGTCCACGCTGCCATGTCTTCACTGATATTTTGAGAGTTGTGCTAACTAGATGAGAGTGATCCCGGCTTTGCTGTGCTGCAGTCGTGCTTCCAAATACATTATCAACATACCCTCTACCACAGTATATAAACGATCATATATTTCAGGGTACAAATCTCACTAAGCTTCTCTGCATTCTGACATCTTGGTTTCACAGTATTTGATGGTTGCTTCCCTTTCAGCGGAAAGGTAATTGTAGTGGTATTTCAATCTTGCTCCTTTTTATTTAGGTTTAAAGCACTGCTATCTAGCAAACCCTCAGCTGAGAGCACTTGTATTGAGATCAGCTATGTGAAGTACCCCATATTTCAGGTAAAGTCTGTGCCACATACCATCTGAATGGAATGTGTGCCATCAATAAATTGTATGTAGCCTGCACAAATTAATGTAATTACATTTAGTAAATGAGTCATATCATACTTGAGGGTATGTCTACACTACCCTCCTAGTTCGAACTAGGAGGGTAGTGTAGACATACCCTCAAGTATGATATGACTCATTTACTAAATGTAATTACATTAATTTGTGCAGGCTACATACAATTTATTGATGGCACACATTCCATTCAGATGGTATGTGGCACAGACTTTACCTGAAATATGGGGTACTTCACATAGCTGATCTCAATACAAGTGCTCTCAGCTGAGGGTTTGCTAGATAGCAGTGCTTTAAACCTAAATAAAAAGGAGCAAGATTGAAATACCACTACAATTACCTTTCCGCTGAAAGGGAAGCAACCATCGCTCCCCGCTTATGCTAATGAAGCCCGGGAAATTCAAATCCCGGGCTTCATTAGCAAGTTCGGTATGCCTACATTACCCCGCTAGTTCGAACTAGCGGGGTAGTGTAGACATACCCTTAGAGTGTAGTTTCCTAAGAAAAGTCCTTAATTTCCGTTATATAGTAACCTGCATTATAATCCTGATTGAAGGCAATATATTTCATGTCTGTACTGCTTGAAGACAGAGCAGTGCATTTCAGTGAAACATTTGCATAGATTTTTGGGTTCTTTTGTCTCATGTTTGGTGCATTTGTATACACAAGTATTCTGAGGCCTTTCTTTTCCTAGCAGTATTGTTTACTCACATTTTGTAATGCCTTCTGTGAAAATGCAGAGCCAAACTTACCTGTCTCACATATTGTGCTAGATGCAGCATATGCAAGAGCTTGCACCTCTAAGAAAAGTTTATTTTAACCAGAGCAATGACAGTTCAATTTACTGATTGTTAGGCCTTATCTATACTTCCGAGAAGATCGACACTCTGGAGCTCAATCTTCCAGGGTTCAATTTAATGTGTCTAATAAGGACTTGCTAATTCAAATGCTGAGAGTGCCCCTTCAATCCGGGTACTTCATGGGGTCATGAGAAATAAAGGAAGTCAATGACCTCCCACAGCGGGGCCAGCCTAGAAATCCAATTGAAGGTACATTGGCCCCAGCCACAGAATTTTTGTAGCTGGAGCTGCATATCTTAAATCAAATTTCTCCGACAGTGTAGAACTGGCCTTAGAGCTGCAGATATTTTTCGGTCTAGTTTACAGCTTCCTGCAATAACCTTTAAACTTTACTCTCAGTTCTCTGAGGAGAAATAGTGTTTGGCCCATAATAAAATGCAAAGCAGAAACCTTCTCACCAGCCATTTGCCTACAGAAGTATGTGTAGAAGGGGTATGTGGTTTCCTAGAAAGGGAAGGAATTAGGGAACTGCCACTATGTGGCATGATCTCTTGAGTAAAAATGGTCAAGGTGCCACAGGACTTCTCATAGACTAACAGATGTATGGGAGCATAAGCTTTCGTGAGCAAAGACCCACTTCGTCACATGCATCTGACGAAGTGGGTCTTTGCCCACGAAAGCTTATGTTTCAATAAATCTGTTAGTCTGTAAGGTGCCACAAGACTTCTCGTTGTTCTCGCAGATTCAGACTAACATGGCTACCCCTCTGATACTTGAGTAAAAATGCTATCAGAAAATGAATGAGCCAGGATCAACTTGTCCTGTGAACTACCTGGACCTCTTTGGAGAATACCAGCACTGTGGCTAATAGGGGTTGGGAGAAAAGACATGGTATCTATGAAGAGAAACCTAGAACTGTGCAGAAACAGAGAAAGCATGGCTTGAAACCTGCTGGTTTTTGACTGGTTTAACTGAGAAATCCTTAGCCCTGAATATTGTATGGTAGCTTCACATGCTCCCGTACCCCACACATTTCCCATGATGTGAAGTTCAAGATGCTGGTCATGAGTGGCTTTTCCAAAGCTGCTAATTTTTCATTGCCTCCTCTTCCCTTTCATGTGTTTTACTCAATCAGGAATGATACAGCTCTAAGTGTATCATCTTGTTACACTAGCAACAATGACTGCAGAAGCAAAGTAAGGCAGGATAGTGAAAGACAGACATATGTAATAAGCATGTGTTTTCTGGGGTTGCTTTTCATAAGCAGACAGTCTCTTTGTTTCGTTTCAGCTGGTTATGCAGTATCTTTACTATGGTGGTGCAGAATCACTTCTGATTAAGAATAATGAAATAATGGAGGTAAGAATTATTTTTCTTCATTCAGATGTGAGTTACAATATCTCTCCAGTGTTATATAGTTTCCCAGGGAAATGGACTGCAACAAGTGTTGGCAAAGAGCAAAGAACTCTTCAGTAGGTTATTCAGTTTTCCTCAAGTTTCCAGTAGCATCTAGCTGCACTTTCGGGGAAAATAAATCTAGACCTGCTTTCATTTCTTCCTCCAGTCTCCAACTGTCTCTCCACTACATCTTCCTGCTTCCCTAAGTTGAGAGTTGATCCTCTTGGAGGTGCCACAACTATGAATACCCAGCTTGCAGCCTCTACCTCCAGTTCCACTTAATGTAAATAAAAGTAGGTTTTATTGGACATAGGACAGAAAAATCACAAAGCAAAAAATATTGTAGTTTTAACTAAAATATCCGACCAGACAGGCTGACTAGCTCTTCCAGTGGATCAAAAAGCTTGTGTAACAGAACATGGAAATATTTTCTTCAATGAGGTAAAACAGCCTCATTCTCTTAGTCTTAATAGGAAGTCTCTTGCCTCTAATTCAATCTGTTACGCTTTCCAAGCTGTGTCTCTGGGAGTGTTAGCTAAGAGTCAGATGTCCAGAATCTGTCCAGAAGAGAAGAAACATCTCAAGTGTAGTTCTTCATTCCAGAAGGAAAATAGGAAAGCCCATGTGTAACTTTAACCATGCCATGTGAATAGTTCCATTGAAATCAAAGTTCAGCTTCAAGTAAGCATATGCTTAATGTGTTGCTGAAATGGGACCTAAAGCTGCCTCCTGAGGTGGAGAGAAGGGGGAAATCTTTTTTTATCCCAAAAGCGTATCCTCTTGTGCACAGAGTCCAGTTATACATCGTCATATTTCTCCTCCACCTGCCCCCCAAACACAACCAAAATTGAATCTGACTCCTTCTCACCCCAGACAAATGTGCAAAACCCATGTGGATGTATGTGATCTCCTTCCAGAATTCTGTGCATTGTTATTGGTCATTGTTCAACCTAGTAGCGCCTAATAAAACACAAGCAGCTTCCTTGTTTCGGCAGTTTCCTCACCAGTCTGAGCTGGAAGCTTTCATATGAACAGCATTCAAGTTATAGCAGGTACAACTAATATAGGACACTAAATATTAAAATCACTGACTAATATTTATACAGCTAGTAAAAATCATAGTGCACAGATTATACAGTCTTGCACTATGTTATTGTGCAGCTTGTGAGTCACTCAAGCAAGTATGAGTTTTTACAGAGCTACTGCAACCAGCAATTGGCAACAGTTGGGTATAAATGGCCAATGAAAGTCTATTTTGGTGGCTATCGTAACCCTTATAATAATCCTGCTGAGGAAATATTGAGGGGGAGTATTTGTATAGGGAGACAAAACTGGAATTAGTCCTCTCCAGTTCGCTGGGGCAGTCTTAACTCCAAAGCTGAGTTGAATTAACTTCCTTTCTCTTACTAAAACCAGCTGCTATTTTTCCAAGTCATCCCCACAGCTTTGCAAAGAGGCCTGTAAACCTTAATCCTTTCTGCTAGAAGTGTTCTCAAATACAACAGTTTTATAGCTACAAAGCTATACTCATAATCAACTAAGTAACTAACAAGATGCCTACTGGAACTCTTCTGGTCATTCACACTACTATTGGGACACCCCATTTCTCTTTGTGAATCTAGGCTATATGTATAGACCTCCCCAACCGTTGACTGGATGGGGAAAGAGAAAGAGCTATTTGGTCTTATATAGGTGTCCAAGCCCTGTACATGATTCCGTATAAGAGCATTTCTATGGGCTTGACTGTCAATTATGGCAGCAGTGTTGGACAAAAGGGAAGACATTGGGTAGCTGTGTAAAGACTATTCAGCTGCCTAAAAGAAGGCTCCTAATCCCACAGGATTTCCTTTGTCTTCTGTAGTTTAAGAGTCCCTTGTGGCTCACAAGATCTGCCTCCTTGAGCCACGGTGGCAACAGAAGCCTGGATACAGCCCTAGTTTTCTAAAGTTATATTTAGCATCTTGCTTTATTATAAATGTGGCAACGAGAAACACAGGAAATACTGAAATCTTTGCTGCAGTTCATAATTGGGGCCAGCTGGCTGCTGTCACATCGGCACTGCAGATTTCCAGAATTTTGATTTTTCTAGGGGATTATAGAAGAGCTGAAGATGAGTGGGATGGACAGGGACAGAACAACTTTCTGACAGTTTTTTTTTCCTAACAGCCTTGGCTTGCAGTGTGAGAGCACTGTTGGGTTCCACTGCACAGCACTTTGCCAGGTATTCCCAGTGATATGTGCTATTAAATGCATAAATATAGACCCCCCCCCCAGCTCAACCAATATATGTATATTGATCAGCACAAACCGATGCACTGCTTGCCTTCAAAGCAAGAGAGGAGTGGCAATGGGACCACCTTTTGGAGGGACGAAAAGTGGACACGAGCTCTTTCACCCACAAGAAAGCAAGGAAAAGTGATAGCAGGTGAAATCTTGACTCCATTGACATCATAGCAGGGCTCTTGTTAACATCTGTGGAACCAGGATTTCACCCAGAAGCGCTTGTCTCCCATCAGCCACAAAAGAGATGATTAGCCAGTGAGAGTCTATTTTGGTGCTCTACCTGCACTACCCTCTTCCACCACCTGAGATAACAGGTTTGAACCCACCTGGTTTTGTAGATTTTAAGGCCAGAAGGGGCTATTGGAATTGTCTAATCCTGTGTTTCTCAAACTGTGCTCCGCAGAGCCCTGGGGCTCCGCAAGACATCTCCAGGGGCTTCGTGAGGTTGACAAACTGGAAACATCAACACATACAATCAGTGGACTGCTGGGGCTCTGCATAAATTTTTACGCATGTAAAGGGCTCCGGAGCCCAAAAAGTTTGAGAACCACTGATCTGATCTGACTACCTACATAACACTACCATAGGTTTTCAACCTGCAATTCTTGTATCCAGGCCATAATTCATTCTCTCTCTCTCTCTCTCTATCTATCTATCTATCTACCTATCTATCTATCGGGATGAAAGAGTGATATCATCATGTCACTCTGTGACTACAGTAGCCAAAGCCCCAGCCACTCCCCAGATCCCACATGTAGAGCTGGGGCTGCCTGCAGTCCGGTCCCTCCTTCCCCTTGCCAGTGGCTGAGAGAGAGTCGTAGCTGTCACAGCCTTGGCCCAGCCCTCCCTGGCAGCGGGGTGGGAAGATGGGGCTGGCTCAGCCTTGGCCCGGACATGGCCTCAGCCTGGACTGCCCCCCCACAGTGGCCAGGAGGAGAGTGTGGGGCCTGGCAAGGCCTTGGCCTGCCCCCACCAGCAGCTGCGGGGAGAGGGTCGGGGTTGGTGTGTGAGGAGGAAAGGGAATAGAGCTGGGACTGAAGTGGCCTTGGCTCTCCTGCCTGGTGGGAAGGGGGTGTGTGCAGGGAAAAGCCTGGGGGAGGAGGAGCCAGTCAGGGCAGGGGGGAAGAACCAGGGCCAGGGCAGCCTTGGTCCTGGACCTTCCCAAGCAGCCAAGGGGGAGAAGGGCTGAGGCATCCTTGGGGCCGGGCCCTCCCCGGCAGCCAGGGTAGGGGGACGAGCTGGGGCGGCCTCGGCCCTGGACCCTCTTCAGTGGCTAGGGGGGGAAGGCTGCGGCCAGGATCACCGGGGGGTGGGGGGGTTGGCGAGCACAGCAAGCAGGGGGCGCAGCCCCCTAGTGCTATTGTAAAAAGCAGAATTGAACCTTGGCTGTTTGTTTCTAATGTGTAGCTCTGCAGATTCTTCCATTCAGAGTCATATTTGTGGAAAGACTGTAGGCTCTGATGGTTATGTCTCTGCTTCCATACTGCCCAGAGATCAGCAGAACATACTTTTTTTCCCTCCTAAAATGGCAGCATTTGGTTCTGAATGTTCTGTTTTCCAGTCATCACTTATTGACAGCTGCTCATCATAGTTTGAGCTGTTACGTTACTTCCCTCTGTAGGATTGAAAAGAGTAAAATCAGCTAAAGAACCTTATTATGGCAGTTAAACAACTGACAATAATTAAATTAAACTGAACTGATTATAAGTCTTGTGTGTAACTGTAATAAAAGAGCAAGGAAATCATTGCAGATGATACTGTTTAATTCTGTCCTGTTCAGCACTTCTAACACTTTTTTTTTAATCTGCTGTTTAGCTTCTCTCTGCTGCTAAATTTTTTCAGCTTGAAGCTTTGCAACGACACTGTGAGATCATCTGTGCTAAAAGTATAAACACAGAAAACTGTGTGGATATTTATAATCATGCCAAGGTAAAAACAATTGTGTGTGTGCATGAATGTCTGTCTGTGAAGTTCATAGTCATGTGATAGGCATAGATAAATATATCATATGCTTGTGCAATTCATCACATCTGTGACTTCATCGTTTGCCCCAGTAGGCGCTGTCTCTGGGACTTACCCTAACATTCCACACCCCTAAGCTATTTCAAAAAGTTGCCTTTAAAAAAAAATATGTTTGCCTTCTTTTATCTCACAAATGGGGATATTCCCACAAACATTACCCTCACTGGAGGTTCAGGATGAGTGATGCTCAGCCTTAGTAGCTAACAGCTTTTATGTATTTGAAAATGACATATTGTCGAAATCTAATGCCTTACAACTTAGCAGGGGTCATGCTCAGCCTTAGTAGCTAACAGCTTTTCTGTATTTGAAAATGACACATTGTCGAAATCTAATGCCTTAAAACTTAGCAGGGGTCGTTACGAGGCTTTTATACCATTGGAGAGAAGAAATGCACAGCTTCCCAATTAAATCCAATATTCACAATCCTCCGAAGGGTCCTGAGTTAGAGGACATTGAAGCATGGCATTTTTAGACTTAGAAACTGGTGTTCTTTGAGATGTGTCCCTGTGGGTGCTCCACTACCCTGCCTTCTTCCACTCTGCTTCGGAATTCTGGCCTCCTTAAGAGGTCTTATTCCAAAATAGAGAATGAACTGGTGCAGGGGGAGGACACTTGCCCATACACACTGCCTGCACACTAGTAGTGCACAGCCCCAGGAACACTGCTCCAAAAACTCCGATCGAAGGCTCTGTGGTGGCGCACTGACCTGATGTGGATCACTCACGGGAACACTCATCTCAGAATGTCAGTAAATGCACAGGTGAGTAACCTCTTTCTACAGCCCTACCTTTGTGATATAAACAAATGAAGGAACAGAAGCATCCTCCACTTTGAAAGGCACCTGTTTTATTTTGCATCTTGTGAGAACTTCTGGATTTACCAAGGGTGTTTAATCCTGGATAAAATGAATAATTTCCATTTTTATTTTCATTCTTGGGCCGTTTCTTCAAAAAGTGACATTAGCTGCATCAGATTTTTTGTCTCTCTAGGTCTCAGTTCAGCAATGCTCTTAAGCATGTGAGTAGCCTCGTCAAAGTCAAGGTTAGGCACATGCTGAATCTGGGCCCTACTTCATTTCTGTGGGCCAGGTCCCACAAGTGCTCAGTGCATGGAGCTGTCACTGAATTTTGCTCGTGGAAGGTGTGTACACGGGAGGCTTGTGAGATCTAGGCTTGATGATCTAAAATTAAGTTGCTCGCATTTCATTCCATTCTGTTCTTCTGACTCTGCTCGGAATGAAGGTTTTACAACAAAGTCTCCTCTTCTTGTCTTCTGCTGGCACACAGTATCCCCATATCACAGTGCATTAGTTAACTCTGTGGCATGGGATAATGTTATATTCTGAATATTCAGTTCCTTTAGATAGTTGCTGAGGACTTTCCATTCCTGTGATTGTAAAGGACCCTAACAAGAAATGGTCGTTTGATTACTATAACTTTCACATTTTCATTTTTTACTTATGGTTCTCTTTACTGTGTGTTCTTTCCAGAGAAAAGCCACGTAAGTTGTCAAATTGCATTGGTGACACTAGTTGATTTGTTTCTACAAGGTACTAGCCATGCTCTTCCCTAACTTCCAGTGAGGTCAATAGGAATTTTGAGCATATGCATAATAATCAGCACTTCCCCAACATGCCAGCTGCTGATGGGATTAATAATAAGAAAGAAAAGAAAAATACATTATTTCCTCACTCCAATGTACTGTATATTGAACTAGTGAGTAAAAAGAATGGAAAGAAGAGTAAAGAAGAACAATATAAATCCAACACAGAAAACTAATCCAGTCTGATCTAGATCCTCAGCTGGTGTAAAGTAACTCAACTCTCTGACTTCAATGGAACTACTTCAGTTTACACCAGATGAGCATCTGACCTTCCAAATCCAAAATTATTCTCCCCTTTAGAAAGCTCCCAACCTGCCCTGAACTGTACAGAATTCCATCCCACTTTTCGTAGTCAACATTTGTGTCACCCACAGATGATGTTAATTTAGTGGTGAGGCTGTACGATGGGCCCAAAGTAAAGATTCTGAGGCTAAAGATCAGAAAAACCATCTACTCTGCTGGATTGCATAGGCCTCCAGGAAGCACCATCCACTTGCATGTCCAAAGCTTTCCATTTTTTCTCAGAGCTCAAACACATCAGGAGTTCACCCAATCTAGTAGATCCATGGGGCACCCTTCTGTATATTTGGCAGAATACACTCAGGGCTTAGTCCTTAACTAGAATGCTCAGAGCTTCTACTGGCATTAACTCAGGATCTAACCATTTGCTCCCTACTTCTTATGAGGCAACTGCTGATTCCTGTGCTCTAGTGGATCATGTAGCACTAGTTTACTGGCAAAGAAGATGGGGTACATTGAGTGTAAAGGGATGCAATGGACCCAAAACCAACATACTTCACATGCTGTGCACATAGCAGCCATTTCACTCCAGGCCAAGAGTACATGTTTTGATGCAGTTACCTCTGATGGTGGAGTTGACCAGGTGTATCATGCTTGGCAGGCATCTTGGGAGACGTTGATAGATCTGGCCTCCAGTAAATCTCCCCAAATCTACTGGTAATGGTAGTGGAAACTTAAATCCTAGCCCCGAGATCCCTGACAAAAATCCCATTGATTTGCATGGGATCTGTATGTCAATCTTGGCATTTTTCTTCCAAGATGACCTTAGCTTATTGACATAGTCTTGAAGTCTGGAATTTGTCATTTGAAGCAAACAATGTGAAATATTACTTAAAACACGTGTGTGTATGGATGTCAGTGTTTTCACCTGAAAAATGTAGCTTGTATAGTTTGCGTGAAGTTTGTATACTTTATTTCTCATGAACAATATTCATTGACACATACCTATGAGAGTGGTTACTTTTCTTTAATCCCTCACTTTTTGTAGTTTCTCGGAGTCACAGAACTGTCCTCCTATTGTGAAGGCTACTTTCTAAAAAATATGATGGTCCTCATTGAAAATGAAGCATTCAAACAACTGTTGTATGACAAGAACGGAGACCCATCTGGTCAGAATGTTCTACAAGACTTACAGAGGACGTTGGCAACACGAATTCATTCAATTCATTTGTCTTCTTCAAAGGGCTCCGTTGTATAAAGTTCAGGAAGGAGATCACACTCAGAAAAGACCCTGTGAGTTAAGACTCCTGTTGCAGTTGCTTAAATGAACACACAAAATTCAACTTCACATTGGAATATTTTTTTGTTGGCCAAAGGTGCTGCTTTTAGGCTGCAGCTTCACTTAGATGATGAAATACAGTACATATGGCTCCAACACATTTTTGAGAAGCAAGGATCTAGCACTGCTCTGTGAATTACAATTATGTTAAGTTCTGAATGCAAAAGTGTGGTCAAGGAGCTAATGCCAACAAAAGCCAGAACTCCCCAATGAACAGCAGAAGCCTCTGCTTGATCACAGATGCCATGGACCACTTAAACTGACAAATGGGTTATTTAAGGTTATTTTGCTCCACCGTGTTATACATTTAAGAACTGTACTGTACCTATCCCAGAGTCCATTTTATTGTGCATATAAGAAGTGTAAGATTTGTTAGTTACTGTTTCACAAAGGTCAACTGTGTTAGAAAGTTCGTAAGACTGTTACAAATGAGGAAATATACTGGCAAATTTTTAGGGGTGGGAACTTTTTTAAATTGTTCATAAAAATGGGGTGGCCTTGTAGTTTAAAATCTATTTCTTAAGCTTAAAAATTCATTTTTGACAGAGTTGTGTTTGAGAATCTATGTAACATGTTTTGTTTTTTAAAGGTACACTGTAAATACTGTATACATATGATCAGGTTTTGCTTGTATTCTTTCCTGGGGTGGTATAATCTTGCCTAAATGGCTATGGTTACACCAAAGAGGTACAATACCACGACAATACCTAATACAGTAGTTGGGAAATAAAAACCTGCATGCTAACTGTGTTTTGGAGTTAAAGACCATAACAAACTCAACAGGCATTTGCATGGTAATTGTACCTGTGAAATGTTATGTTTGTGCTTTGTTTTGCCAAGACAAATGCAATGTTACTTCTTGTCAAACTCCATTTGTAAAACTAGCATATTTACTTTTTTTTTGTTGGTGGTGTAAATGGTAGTGAGATAATTCCCACAGAGACTTGTTAGAAGATGCTGATATCCATGGAAGAGTTAATATCAGTATTTATTCTAGTACCGTGTCAATACTTCGCCACTGGCCAGAAATTGTGACTAAGTTAGAATTTTTTAAATTATTATTAAATCTGTAGAATTTCTTATTATACCCTGTACATTCTCAGGGTATCTATGATGGAAGTGTCCAATGGCAGGGCTCAATTTATTTTGCAGCATTCAGTTAGCAAGAGATATCTGTTAAGTGCCACAATTTTCTTGACACCTTGTATTCAATGATACCTTTCATGAATCAGTTGATGTTTAAAACATAGGTAAGACCTCAGTAAAGAGTAGGAAAAAGGCGCTACCTTTTCAGTGGCAAAAATTACATGTATTTCTTTTCTAGCATGCTTTTTTAAAATTGTGCCTAGTTCACAGGTTTTTAGAAGCTTTAATTTAACAGTGCATGGTAACTTCTTGGTCTTTTGTTAGAGTATTTTTGTCAGGTGCTATTTCATGTTTATAGCTTTTGGAATGCTCAGAAAACATGGTCTTTGCATTAGTTATGAACATGATAGGAAGCTGTTTTATTGTTCTGATCTGTAAATCCTCCTGTATGCTTGATCATTTTAAAGCCTATACAGTATCTGCAACAAATTACAAAATTGTCTAAGCTACCATTGTCTCAGAGACACAGCATGTCAACTAACAATGAATTATCAGACAATTTGTGTCTGCATAGGATATGCCATATAAGATATTGTCTAGAACATTTAGCTACTGGCGACTTACTTTTCTGTGAATGTTGCAATATTAGAGAAGCAAGAACCTCATAAAAGCAATTGCAACTCGTGGCGAGGGTGTACTTATATTATAGTTTTGGTGTGCTTCCCCACTCATTGATACCCACTCTTCCTTATTGGTAACAATTTACATAATAAAAACAACTCTCACCCAGCAGTTTAATGTTAACTTCTTTTAAATATAAAATCATAAAGCTCCAGATTTTCACCCAGTAATCAAGTGGGCCAAATTCTATCCTCAGGTACACACACAGCTCCCACTAAAGTCATCAGACATTGCAGACTCATACCCAGAAGCGGAATTTTTCTCTGTGGGAAATAAAAACACAGCTGTAAATTCATCTGGACAGTTTGGTGTTTAACAGGATGATAATCACTGCTTATGAAGCAGTGGCTTTGGTGCATACATTAATAGTGGCCCAGGGCATTGGTAATGGGCTATATCCCTGTGTTACTCATTGGAATGTTGATGTAGACTGAGGTTACCAACACAGAAAACCACCACAGAGGTGTAACTTTCTTTGGCAGCATCAGCAACAACAATTAAAGACGGGGGAAGAGAGACTTCAATCCTGTCTCATCCTGAAAACTAACCACTGTAGGATAGGACTGAGACACATAGGATGGTAAGGTTGAAGTGCCCCTAACTTTACAGCATCTGTTCTGCTACTAAACCAACCAGATCAGAATTGCTATCTTTCTATTTCAGTAGAGGCCTTTGGTGGTGAATTTCATCCAAAAAACCTCTTAGAATGTAAACATGATCCCTACGAAACAAGGCCATTCCATACAGCGATCATCTAGTGGTGCATTTCTGTCCTTTAGAAACAATGCTATTATTTCAGCACCTCTGTTCATTAATCTCAGTACTGATTCATCCATTTGGGGGAAGAATTCCCCCTAAGCTCCCACCCCAAGGAATTTCAGACAGTTGGGTGAACTAGTAACTCTTTTAAAATCCCTTAGAAAAAAAGTGTAATTTTTTTTTCAATCCTAACTTGCACTCCCCTTCCCTCTGCAAAGTTACCTAGGACTTTTCCCTCCCTACCTAGGCTTTTAAAAGATTGCCTGTCCCTGTGTTATCTGGGCACCTACAGACACTTTGACCCTTCTTAGTTGTAAGTCCTGCATTCTTTTCTAGAAGAGACCCAATCTTCATTTAGCTCCCTTAATTTTTCCCACAATCCCCAGAACAAACCCACCTTGGCTAACCTATGGCAGTTCCTGCATTCTCCCTACCAGCCTCCCTGTTCTAGAACCATGTTGGTTCTCTCCCTGATCCTGGCAGATATTATCTCAAGTAACCCAGCTCTCCCCTATGGGTCATTGCCTAATGGTTAGCTTGAGAACTGGCTGAGGGAGGTGGGTGGGGTAGAAACATATGATAAAGTTTTGGAGCTTCAGGGAGCAAGGTTTGTTCTCTTCCCAGGGAAAGCTCCTGAACCGCCTCCCCATAACTCAAATCCTCCCTTCTGCACAGACCGGAGACCATTCCTCACCCCTTTCCTTTCTTTAGAAACAGATAGCTGCCAAATGTTTTTTACGCTAGAAAATGGCCAATTTCCTAAGGGAGCCTTTCTCCATGCTAACCTTTTCCATGCAAGTTCTTGGCTTACAAGTGAATTGATGGTGCAAAGTATAGAAATGTGTATTTCCCAAGTGGTGCATGGGGAATTACAGCTGCTCTGCTAAGTTTCCACGTGCCCACTTTGTAAACTGATGCTGTGTGTGTAGAAAATCCACTGATTATTGTCTTCATACTGAAAATTGTACCAGTCCCTTTTGGATGCATTACAGTGTGAGGTGTGATAGGGCGCCTTTCAGGAACCTTCAGCTCTGTGCCAACAGGTATTGTAGTTTGACCTTTGAAGTTTTGGTGGTTTTTTTTCAGTGATCTCCGCTCCCAGTGAAATGAGCGACATATAAATGGGGCAATAGTGAGAGAGACAGCTGGGCTTTTCTTCAACACCAGAAATTAAATGGCAAGGTCCAGTTTTATGTGTAATACCAAACAAAGTTAATTGGGATTTATCCGTCAATTTGTAATTGACTTACGTACAGCTGCCATTAACGTTAACACACCTAAGTTTATATACAATATTGAGATTCAAGCTAGGGTTGAGCTGTGCTAGACCAAAAAAAACCCCCAAACGCTATTTCCTTGTATTATTGACCACAGGTCAAATGCTGAGGTGTGCACAGTATCTGCAGCTTTCACTAAAATCAATGAAAGTTGTAGCTCTCAGGAGTCAGCTCTGTATTAATAATAATTCTTTCATAGGACCAGATCCTGACATCCGTACTTGTCAAAGCAGGCACTGAAGTCAGTCCATGTTCTGCATGAATAAAAGTGCAGTAAAAGCTGAATAAGGACTTTGGGCCTTGGCCCCTAGTGTCTTTTAGCTGTGAATCTCAAAATGCTTTACAAATATTTATGGCCTGACAATGTTGTTCTTATGCTGCTTAATATCTTATCCCAGAAATAGTCCCATTGAAATTAATAGGTCCAAGGATGGATGGAGTGTGGTATTAATCTAGGAAAGGGAGGGTGTCTGGATCTAGCCTATAATAAACATCACCACATCTCTGCAAGGCAGATAGTTATATCCATCTGACATACTGGTGACTGGAGACATAAGCAGCTTAAGCAATTTGTCCAACTCAGTGTGAACTCTCGAGTTCTGCTGACATTATATGTTGTAATAATTCGTCTGGAGCTGTATTGTCATTTCAAAAGGCATACACACCTCCCGTTGACTGGACAGTTTAGCTTTAGCAAACATTCACTTTTCTCTGCCCGTGTGAATGTCTGCACTGCATCACAGAGAGTGACTTTGTCTAAACACCTTTGGCTGGTGGCTGATCTTGGACATTCAACTTCCCAGCGTTTCTGCTGCTGTGTTTTCATTAAAACTTCTCTTACCTTGCCCACTCTTTGTGGTTACAGATTATTTTTTCTTATCAGATTTCCAAAGCAAACAAAGGAAAAAAATATTCAAAAATAAACAATTTATGTTTAACAATAGATCACATTAGAAAGCGGGGACGCTTAGCCATACAAAGATGTGACCTTTAACAGTCACATCAGAACATAGCTTATTCTTTAACTCAGGGGTGGTCAACCCATTAAATGAAGAGAGCCAAAACAGCAGCGGGAAAAAATGTGAAGAGCTGCACCGGAATTGTTGAGAAAGGAGGAGGGAAAAAAAGAAAAGGAAGAGCTCCCCACCAGCCAGAGTTGAGGAAAGAAAGGAGGGGAAAAAATGGATGCTGCCCCCTTTAAAAACCGTGGGCTTAGGCTTTTTGGCCACATCAGGCTCCCGTCAGCCACCACCATCATGTTGACGCCATTTTGCTATGCTGGACGGCTCCCCTGCACCCAGTGAGCTGGTGGCCAGGGGCCGTTTGTAGGGGTGCATGGGGCAGCTTCGCGAGCCGCACTTTCAGGGGTGAAGAGCCACGGGTTGGCCACCCCTGTTTGAAATGGTCAACTTAAAACACAATATCATCAGGGATGCAGCCATAACACCCCAGCCATGCCAGCAGAGATTGCTTAATGATCTAAAGTTCAAAATAACTAGAGTCCTTCAAGCCACATTATCAAATCCCTGCACCACTGACCGACCCTTTCATCATCCTGATGTGGATAAATTCAATATGATCTAGTTTACTGTTGCGGGGAAGATAGGTGTCATTCAGGTGAGACCTTATAAAGTCTAGTCCTCTCTGCCCTGCGTAGACTTTACACAGCACATAGCACTTCAAGTGCAGAGATTTGCCCCATTATCATTGATTGAAAGTTGCCCTTTCCCTCGTTGTTGTGCAGTGAACTGTGCGCTAGTTGGATGCTGCCCTGGGCTCCAGTGGTGGCTGGTTTGCAGTGGTGCTGTGTAGGGTCCCTAATTCATGAAGCACTTTGAGATCCTTCAACATGAACAGTGTTGCAATAAAGTAAAATGATTCTGCTTATCAGAGAGCCCAATCTAAGTAGGGTCAAGGCTGGCAAGACCTCCAATAAATCATGTGCTTCAGAAAGCAGTGTTGGTGAATCAGTAGGTGTGTGTTCCCCTCTGAGTCCCTGAACCCTGGTGTTTGGGGGCACTGTGCTATGGGTGATGTCATCTTTCAGATGAGACATAAAGATGAGGTCCCAACCCTTTGTGCTCATTAAAGAACTGATGGCACATTACACAAGAGTAGGTTAGAGTTGTCAGCCTCAGGGTCGTGGCCAAACTCCAATTTAGTAATTATGTTGTACCTACCAAAATTCCTTTTGTGTATTTTCGCTTTTGGTCCTAAATTTCTCTGAACCATTGCAGTGTGCTATTGTAAGCACCTGCTTTACACTCTAGCCTTTTGCTTGTATGGCATTGGTAGATGAAGAAATTTGTGTGTGAGAGAAAATTATGCATATAATAAACTCAAACTCACACCCTATGGTGCACTAGTGCAACTACAAAGCAGCAAAGTATGATACTCTTTTAGGGCTCTTTTCAGCACTGTGTGAGTGGCCTGGCTAATGTGTGTCCTGGTAATTTACGGCCCTAAGGTGGTGTGGTCAGGACCTCATTCTCTCATGTATAAAGTGTCCTGCATCACACAGTAAAGAGGGCTGGATCCTGTTCTTTTTAAAAAGCAGTACGGTGTGCTGAAAAGAGTTCTCACAGCCTCTTTGCTCTAATGGTATGGTTACAGGACCATCTTTCATTCCAGCTCGTCCACAAACCTTCCACCTGCACACAGTGAACCTATTCAGAGGAGGAGTTTGAATCTGTAAAGCATTTTAGGGCCCTCTGGGACAAAAGGCGCTTTATAAAAAATCAGATATTCTGTATCTAAACAGCTCATGTTCTGCTTCTTTTGTTTTTTGTGTGTGAAATTTTTTAAAATTTGTGCATGTGTGAGAGCAATAGCTGGACGATAAATCAATCTACTGTATAGCTTATGAGATGTAAAATCATGTCTGTAAATGAAATCTTTTGTTAATGTCAGTCAGCCTTCCCAGGTGCTAAGAGTTCAGCAATAGGCAGTAGTGAGGATTAGGTAAACCTCCAGCTCCATGTGCCCAAAAGGGCTTATCTTTGTACATAGGTTAGGATTTTTTAATGTTTGATATAAGATCATTGGAAGTAGTTTTGTAAGTTAAATAAGGGAGAAGTGGATATTCCAGAAAAAAATATCAATTCAAATTATAGTGTGGAGCCATTCATAAAACAAACTAAAAGACTAGGAGCAATACCTGTTGAATTCAAGAGGATTGGGCCCCAATCAGACATTAAACAATTTGCCATGAATCTGAAGTGTAGATCCTTTTGCACCTAAGCAGAAAAGTGAAACCATGGGGTACCAGAATCTATGTGCTTACGTAGGGAAAAATACCTCCCCATCTTCATCTCAAAGGCCTGTCTTTGTGATTATTTACCTCAGAAAATAACAGATGAAAGCATCCCAGTGCCAAGGCTTTGGTGACACAGAAGAGCTAACACGTACAGGAGACTTGCTTCCTTCCTTCCTTCATCCTTGCCCATGTCTATTAGTTACCTCTTTCAGGTATCAATAAAACCCTTAAGTTGCATTCATAAAGTTATTAGGGAAAACAAAAAAGAGAGAGAATACCTGATGGAAAAAATTGCTTACAAGAATAAAACAAAACTGTAGCATGAGAACTGCTGATTGCTGCATATTTTGTAAACCCTTCCTGCTGTTACCTTGTAATACTAATGATAGTTTGATTACTTTTTGGAACTTTAGTTATTACAGTTATTACTGTATCAAGCACAGGAAGCTCTCATATGACATCTCTCAAGGAGGTTTCTATGGAAAAGGTTTCTTTATTGGGACACAAACTAAAAATTGCACAACCAGGTAATACTATCCAGAGTACAAGGAGGTGATGTCCTACTTTATGCAGCCATCATTTAAATTCTGAATTTTGGGTTTATATAAGTGTTCTAGTTATTTTAAAATGAACAGTGTAACTGGAACATTTGTTTGCCTTTCTCATTTTCCATTTAAGATTGTATAAACTGCACAATAGTAGAAGCCATTGTACAAAAAAATAGAGGAATTATGGACAATTTGAAAAGTTAAGCAAGAGTTAAGACCAATGAGTAAAATTTTTGATAGGACCATCTGATGGCTCTTTATGTATTCAGTCATGTAATGAGACCCTTAGCACATTATCATTGCTAAAATATCTTAGGGAAATTTTTGAAAACAAGTTCATTGAGTGCACCTTAGAATATTTTAACCTTTGGTCGCTGATGTTAAATCTTTTAAAATCTTCAGAGAGATTAGGATTCATGCCTTGCCAAATGCCATTTTGTAAACCCAATGTCAACATTGTATAAATACAAAACAGTATTTTAAACCAGTCAAGATTTTTTTTCTTTAATCTGGTTAGCCAGATCTTCTTTTCAAGTGTAAAATAATTTTAGTTTGAGACTATGTATGCAAAGCTTCTGAGTGAATTCTTATAACCAAGTTACAAAATGGGGGAAGCTGGGTTTAAAGAGAGATTTATCTGCAATAGAGCAAAAATTACACTTTTAGGATTTGTCTATACTAATCCCTGCCATCAATGTACTTATTGTGGCACCTTCTGTGCATTAAGGTTGGCGGGGGCTCCTCTCACATTGACGCTGGCTACTCTTCTTCACCAGGACAAGTACCAGAGTCGATAGGAGAGCACTCGGAGATTGATTTATCATGTCTAAGCAGATGTGATAAATTAACAGCTGGTGGATTGATCTCTCTGGTGTTGATCTGCAGCATAATAGAGACAAGCCCTTATTTTAGAGCCAGAGCTAACTCCCACTTATATCAATGGGAATCTTCCATTGACTTCAGTGGGAGTTGGATCAGGCCTATAATTTTTAACCTGTTTTTTAATCTTTTTGACACCAGGGACCAGTTTCTGCCTTCCTAAATTGTGTCAGGGAGCTCTCAAGGGACTAGTGTTGGCCCATGCATCAGGCATTGAGAAATACTGCTCTAAAGGATATATCTCCCTCTCTCCATATGCAAAACTGTGGTTATCAACAAGAGGCTCCCAAAAGAATATGCCCTGAAGTCACAATCCTAATGTCCTTGTGCATGTTGGCCTTAATTCATCAAAGCAATTAAGCATGTGCTTAAGATGTGTGACTTTAAGCATCCCTCTCCTGCAGAATACTTAAGCCTGTGTTTAAGAGCTTTTGGTTCAGTTGTACTTAAGCATGTGTTTTAAAATTAAAATTCAGCACCTACTTATTAAGTGTTTTGTTAAACAGAGACAGGATTATTAAAGTATTTAAGTGCTTGGGTGGAACAGGGCCTTCAAACTTGAAGTGATTTTTGTTGGAAGTATCACATATTTACAGGCTGCAGATTGAAGCCCAGGTGTGGGTGTAAAGCATTTTCATGAATTGAAGCTTGCTGAGAAAACACTGGCAATCTGAGTTTTAGGGGAGTGACATTCTATGCACAAGTGTTTAGCTGGTAAGGCTAATCTATAGCATGATTTAATATAATTGCATTTCATCTTTTTTTTAAATATCCCTTTCTTTTAGGCAGCACCTGAGGCCAACAAGTATGGAATAATGCCAAAGGACTTTAAAAATTTGCACATAGGGCCAAATCTTGCTCCTTTACCCAAACAGAAGTAGTCTCATCAAAATTAAGGAGAACAAGATTTGGTCTATGGACTATAGAAATTTACTCATGTATGAATACAAGTCCTGGTTCAGATCAGTAAAACTGATTCCTTCTCGGAAAAAACAGATCCTGCTACTTCACACGGATTGTAAATGCACTGAATAACAAAGGAATAACAGCAGAGATCAATTTAATTTCCTGGGTCTGGTCTAATATGTAAGCAAAACTTGCAGTGAAGTCAATAGGTATTTTTCTTTGTAGGGACTGTATAATTGGATCCACATAATGTATGTAAGCAAAACTTGCAGTGAAGTCAATAGGTGTTTTTCTTTGTAGGGACTGTATAACTGGATCCACATAATGAACTAACTATATCAGACAGACCATTCTTGTATAAACTCTGTTGGTAGTTTTGTGTATAGGCCAAAAACAAACAAACTTCAAGGGAACACACCAGAAACTAATAAACTTGCACCTTGATAGAATAGCTTTATTTGTGTATATTACATGTAAATTTCAAATCAGAGGATACATGTCATTCACTGTACAAATCTGGTCACTTAGGTGGGTGTGCTGTGTGGTGCACTGCTGTTTAGTTCTCTAGTTTGGGCGTTCCAACTTTAAAGACTTCTGGAGATGAAGCAAATCATCCTTAGGACCAGTCACAAACAGGAGAGATGGAGTGACAGCCACCCACTACAAATGTGGTTGAGACTGTGGATCAGGACTGAAGTTGGCTTTGGAGAAGGTTACTTGCCCACGTACGAGGTCAATGGATAAGTGCCTCCTTCATAGTCATCTACAGTAGAAGGCAAGTGCTTGAGTTTCTAGTGGTCCAAGTGGGTGGAGAATACTCAGAATTCTATTTGGCCCCGTCTTTAATAGGGACCTGGTATGGGAAGAAGAAATCCATAATTGAATGCAGAAAGGGCCACAACAAAACGTGTATATAACCTATCTAGCTGTATCCTGATGTCTCTGTCTGAATGGGTTTGATAATTTGTTAAAAAACCAAACAAGATTGCTCATGTTGTGTTATTGCTTTAAATTTATTTGCATGAACTCTGGCACTTAGTTCTTTAAGGAAAATAATATATATATTATAGCCTGCAAAATATTCTTGTTGGACAGCCATGTTTTGTGCAAATTGTATATTATTGTTGTGAGCAATATTGAAATATGAACTTTTATTAATCATTGGCATTAAAATATGGTTTTATTGATAGTAAATTTGTCACATTATTTTGGGGCAGGTGTAATATGGGTTTTGTATATGCAGGTGTGAACACAACTGCCAAAAGGACCATTTTCAGTGTGGTGAAAATATCACAAGTTTTCACTAAACAGGCAGGTATGCAAATCCCATTCATGTTAATGCAAGTTACAACGTTATTTATTTGTGCCAATTAACAGGCCTATACTTTTTAGGCACTCTACAGCAATGCTTAAATTCCTCTTTCAAAAGATTATATTATTAGCCTCCCCCCCTTTTATAATGGAATTAAGGGCCCAATCCAGCAAAGCATTTGCTTAACTTTAAGCATGTGAAAAGTCCCCTTAATCTCACCACTCACTTGCTTAAAGTTAAAAGCATGTGCTTAAATGTTACACTGGATCAGTCTCTAAAAAAAATTCCAGTTTTCTCTTGCCTTTGGATAGTAAATGCTATATGGTCAGCTTCTCATGCTTCACACTTTTCAATTTAGGGGCCCATTGAAAGTGAAATATTAATACAGCTTCAGGAGAGTTCCAGCAACTATCTAGTCATTTGGCACTTGAGGTTTATATTCTTTTAGGTGGCTTGTAAAAACCACAAATAGCTGTTTTTTATGTTTACCTCTGGAAAATGTGTTCTGTTGATTTAAAATGTTTAAAGTTAATACATTGACTGCCTTTTTTTGTACATTTGTTACCTCAAAGGTTTGATTTAAATTATACCAATAGTAATATATTTTCATACTTTAAATAATAGTTGACTGTTCTGTATTTGGGAGGCAAAGTTTATTAATAAACATAGCAGATTAATATTTTAATTCAATTTCATACAGCTCCCTTCAAAGATTATTAGATTGCAATGAAGACTCCTGAACAGCAGGTGGAGCTCTTTTGAATGTGTTTATGAGCCATCTCTGTTCAATAAAAATTGCAGTTTTTCTAGCCTAGGAAATGGCTACAGTGAATTTTTTTTTGTTTTTCCTTTTTCCAGTTCAGGTATTTCACTGTATAATTCAAACAGCAGCAGGGTTGGGATTCTTCTAGTAACAGGATACCATGATCTTTATGATTTTATGGATTTCACAGCTGGGAATGCTGACAGTTTTTTACTTCAGCACTCAAAGTATGACGAGTGGCATTGTACAGAACATGGAAAAGACACGATCCCTGCTCCAAGAAGCATTCAGTCTACAGCCCTGAATCCTGCACATTCAAGTTGCCTAAGTATAAGCATATTTGTACGAATCCTGCACATTCAAGTTGCCTAAGTACGACTGCTCGTACTTTAACTAAGTATAAGCATATTTGTACAAACTAGACAATTTGGATACATGAAGATCTGGGTGACCCGATGTTGGAGTCGTAATGCTGCAGCAATTATATAAACTAGGGGTCACAGAAGAAGTATGCTTTGGGAAGAGCAGTTTAAAAGAATGAGAGCATCACCATGGAATGGCCCTGGTGAGGAGCTAATCCTAGTGGGAGCTTGAATGTGCCCACGGGCTCCGCTAAGCACCTTTGAATTGGCTCCTTTGTGACTCTGAGAGATACCAGCACATCACACACTCTCCCAACAACTCCCATGGCTGGCCCTACATTAAATTGTTCAGCTGTTTGACCTTCCCATAGAGCAGTGGTTCCCAAACTTTTTGGCATCATGCCCCTTTTTGATTTTGGAGAAACCCTCACAGATCCTCCCTTCCTCCTGTCCCCCCCCAAAAAAGCAGCAACGCTTGTTGAGCATAAAAATAAAAACAAAGGACCTGACCGGGGCTGAAACTTGTTAAAAACAAAAAAAAGTTGCCCTTTTAAGAGCAGAGCAGGCATTGCCCTTTTTAAGGCAGCCATTTTGAAGTCTGCCCGGAATGCTCCATCCTCCCCTGAATTTTTTTTATCTGATGGATTTCCCCCCCAGCATCTTCAAACAGCTGCTTTGCAAGGCAGCATTATAAGTATAAACTTGCCCCTTATGTGGTCATGCTTTTTCCATTATGAGTCCCCTTCTTCAGTTTAGTTGCTGGAGAAGGGGTTTATGCTAAACTGCAAAAAGTCCCTCACATGCCGGAATAAAGGCAAGTCTACACTACAAAATTAAATCAACCTAAGTTACATCGATTTAAAGCCACTGCAGTTACTAAACTGCTTTTGCATGTCCAAGCTATGTTCCTTGTGTCAGTGGTGCGTGCCCTTACCAGGAGCACTATTATCGATTTAATTGTCAGGGTGAGGCATTGCACAATCGCTTCCCAAAGGCAGGAAGCAATGCAGCATCAATATTAGGGATATAAAATCCTGTTGAATTAGTTATCCAGTTAAACATTATGTTTAACTGATTAACCAATTAAACAGGAGGAGGGCTGGGCAGCTGCTCCAGTCCAGCTGGGCTGGAGTCCCCCTCTTTCCTCCTCTCACCCCGGCCAGGCTGGAGTGGCCCCCTCACTGCAGATAAGGGCTGCTCCTGCCAGGATGCCTGAGCAGCCCCTGTCTGTGGGGTGCCCAGGCCGGCTGCAGACAGATGCTGTGAGCAGCCCCTGCCGGGGGGGCGTCCGGGCCTGCTACAGGCAGAAGCTGCACTGGAACATCCCCTGTCCACAGTGGGCCCCGTATAGGGGTGGAACAGCCCCTTGCCCATGACAGGCAGGGAACTGCTCCAGCCCCCCTGGTTAACTTTAAGTGGTAAGCAACTTACAGGTTAACCAGTTAAACCAGGGCTACTCAACTTTGGAAGCCCCGCGAGCCACAATGATACTCACAGCACATGCCAAGGGCCGCAACTTAAATGCAACTTTAATATCAGCAGAACTGATATTTATAAAATGCAGTATTTACCTGATTTCCACCCATATGACAGCACTTAAAGAGCATTGACAGTCCAAGAATTTAATTACTAAAATGCATATCAACAGAAGAATATTATATTGACTCGCTATTGTGGCGCATGTTCCCAGTGGAGGCCATGTTCAAAGGATCCCAGCCGCAGGCTGCATGTTGAACCCCACATAAACCCAAAACACACTGTGGGCCACAAACGGGCCACAGGCCGCATGCAGCCCATGGGCCGCACATTGAGTAGGCCTGGGTTAAGCCTTCACATCCCCTAATCAAGAGTTGGCAAGGCAGCCAGGAAGCAAGGAACAGCGATTGGTGGGGTGGCCAGGTGGTGAGGAACCGGGGCCGTGTCCAGCCAGAGCAAGTACTCAGATGGCAAAGCAAGCAAGATGGCTTTGTTCCCCGGGTCCAGAGGCAAACTCACACAAGACACACCTCTGAACCCTGGGTCCTTCATGACCAAGGAGAACCACTGTGAGTGGGCTATGGAAGCAGAGAGTGGGATACAATAAAGGAATGTCTGGTTGTAGAACTCAAGGATATGAGGCAGAAGACACTTCCCCGCACACTCTGGGGTGGGTGTCCTGCTCACAGCTTTATGAATCCTGTTTGTAATTTTTTTCCCCTAATTAATGTCAGGTGACTTCCCTCCTTTCATTAAAACTTTCTTTTCTGCGCTCAGACCCTGTGCTTACAAATGGGGAAGTATTGCCTCTCAGATATGCAAGGGTGGGGAGGAATTTTCCTGGTTCCAGTTCCATGTTGTATTGTTGAAAAGGAATCCGTAGGTATTACCCCTAGTTACTGCAGGCTTCATCCAGCAGAAGGATTCCACTTTCATGAGTAGAGGAAGTCCCTCAGGCCGTTGCACAGCTCTTGTAAAACCACCCAATGCCGTTGTTCTACCTGGCTTGACCAATGTCACATGTTCCAGTTGCCTTTCTCCATCACATGGGGTTAAGTGATGGCCTTGAGGCTCTG